GTCAATAAATTTGTCATAGCTAGGGGTGCACACCCTTTATAATACACGTTGTTCTGTTTCCTTTATATTAGCTAAGCCTAACGTTTTTTATTATTTTTCCTCTATAACCATTCCACACGTGGAGCCTTAATCGGCCTAGGCGGACAGATAGTGATGGTGTACCCGCAATCTTTCGGAGGCCATGAGTTATTTCTGGCCTGTTACGTAGTCGTCTTAAATAATACATTAATTTTTTACAATACCACCAAAGCCCACATTAGCATTATTTAAACAATTACTGGTTAATTTAAATATATTGTTCGTGATAATTACCTAAGTTTATTATGTAGCTGTCATATTATTTCTATTTCTATTATATAATTTACAACGATATATTGATTATGATTTTGACACATCGGTTACCATTTTAGTAAAAATTTAATTTTATTTATTTTACCGACTCCCTCAAATCGTGGAATTTTCTGGAATAATCGTTTTAATTAGTATTTCCTACACACAAAACACGATATCCATAAAAATCACAGAAATGTTTTTCTGTGTGTGTATATTTTTTTAGAAACGACGAAATATTAGAGCTAATTTTTATGATACCTGTTCGAAAATGGTTTAACTGTAAAAGTAAATTTCAGTAGACCTGAAAACAAATGCTTTGAATTTTTATTAGGATATCAGTATTAGGTCCGTTGTATATATACTTAATACGTACGTTAATTAATTAATTTCTGCTCCGTCGGAGCATAGAATATACATAAAAATACACATACATGTGAACTTTCAATAAAAACTCACAATTTCACCACAACAACACTTAAAGCTAATATAATCTATATAACTCGTTATAATTCAAGTTATAAATAAAATCTCGTCAAAACTAAAACGATAAAACTCAACTGATTTTAACAGTTCTAGTTACATGAAAATGCTGTAAACAGATAAATTAAAATATTTTAGTTTCTGTGATTTACGTTATATCGAGTTTAAAAAATTTGTTCATAATAACAAAGACAGTATAGCACTAATCTATGTTTACAAAAGACACGACAAAAATCATTATACTACAAGTCTACGCTCAAAGTAGTATGTGATTTATTACATTAAGAACAAAAGAGTGAGTGTGAGTGAGTGAGTGAATGAGAGAGACAGAGAGAGAGAGAGAGAGAGAGAATTAAAAGCCTTAAAATAACTGGATCATACTTGAATGTAAGCTCTTGGCAAAGAAAAATTTATGATTCTAATAAAATAAACTAGTTGTATTCATAATTGGACCGTGTTGTGCAGAAATTGCATGCATTTTTCTTATGGCAGAAGTCCTATTATATGTTATGTCTATAATTAGAAAAAAATTAATGTAGATTTATGGATTACTTGTTATTTTTCAGAAGTCTACTAGAAAGTAAACTAAAAAAGAGAGGACTGGACTATGATTTTGGCCAGTTTGTGTTTGGATCATTTCTGTACAACACAATCCAATAATTATAGACTAAATATTACTTGTTAATGTTCTTTTAAGAAAATAATTTATTGTTATTGTAATTTTAATAACTACTTATATATTTCGTAATAAATATAGGTATTATTTTTGTTCTTCAAAGGAAAAATATTTGTTAGAAATACTAAGATAATTCAGAAAGCCTAATTTTAATTGTATGACATAAATATAACATAAGAATATGATTAAAAAACATCCAATCGCTGGTTGTAATTGTGATGCTAATATTGTGATGCCAAAAATTAGTAATCAAATGTAAGTAGTATAACGCGAAATATCCGTCTTATAGTTGACCGTTCATTGTTGACGCAAATAAAATATCTCAATAACAATATAAATACTTATTTATAAAGTTTAAATCAATCCAGAATTTAAAGAAATATTATTTGCAGAATTTCGCTAATATAGTAAAAAGGGTCATAATAGTTTTATACTTAGTACGCGAGTAATCAGTTTAATTCCCGACGACAACATTGAAAAATTACCGTGATATTGATATTATCAACTTCAATTTCCAGTTCCGATTTACCACGTGCTCGGCGGTTGCGGAACGTCAGTGACTACATTACAAATGTTTCGAGGACCTATGGACTACATGTCCTCATGTCTGGCGGTATGGACGAAGCGTAGTAACTTGTAATCTTCCCTGCTTAAAACACTAAACTGCGGAGGAGGTCTGTACTCGACAATAATATAAAATATAACAAGGATGGTATTTTTATCAGTATTCATTGGCAGAAATTTGTCAATTTCATAAAAATCTTCTATACGTGAAGAAAAAAATAATTAGAACCAATTTTAAAGCATATTGCGCTCACAGAGAAGTGTGAGATTTGGCATAGTAAAAGTTCATATGGAGGAGGGCAGAAAGCTAAGAAATAAAAAAAATTGCCAACAGATAAATACTACTTAATTTTGTGTGTTTTCTGTTGAGTGCATGTCCGTGTAATAAAAAGTTCATTTTATATTATGTATAAGCGATATCTGTGTTTTAATGAGCAATTGAAAGAAAAATTCAGGTGTAAGTCACCTGTATTTTTTTTAATATACTCAAAAATTTAGTATAATATTTATCTAATAATTTAGTATTCATTGAACGGTACTAAAGAGTAAGACGTTTATTTATTGTATGAGTAGCAACGGGATAGCTCGTCAATTATAAAGTAAATAGTAATGAAAAAAAAACACATTGTCTTGATATTATGAACAAACTCTTTTTTAAAGATTTCAAACATGGTTTGTTAAACTATGTAAATCAAACAATACATTATATACGTATGTAGTACGTCCGAAGCCATTATAAAACTGGTAAATAAAATTATTACACTTTAAAATACAAAAATAAACACTAGTAAAAACATTAACATTTTTTCTGGAAAATATTCAATTATAAAATATATTGTGATAAATGGTTTTAATATACCGTTCATCAAAAGGCTTGCAATTTTAAATTCCAATTATTTATTCTAAGAGCAATATTACTCATTTCCTTCCGCATATAACGCTCTCAACTTATCGCCTCAACTTCAATTTCAGGAAGATAATCTTCAAGTTTCGTTTTATTTTCATTTTAGACTTTTTCTTAACGTCTGGAGGCTTGCTGGTCCTGTAAAATAAATTGTGTTTAAATATTATTAAACTCATTGAATTTATTAATCGAATACTAATATGTTTTCGCACTTGTTCCCGAATTTATACGTTGTATAGAAAAGAACGTCGGATAAAACTGTATTTTGATCTATCAGATGGATTGTTTGTTCATTTGCTGTTTAATGTAAAAAAAACTAATACAAAAAAAACATTGCCGACGTTTTTCTAAAAGATAGCGCAAAAATCAAACAAAAATTTACGGTCACTGCCAGCGCGCGTCGTCGCTGGGGTGCGTGAGGTAGTGCAGGCAGGTGTACTCACGCGGCGGGCTGCAGGCACGGTCACTGCCAGCGCGCGTCGTCGCTGGGGTGCGTGAGGTAGTGCAGGCAGGTGTACTCACGCGGCGGGCTGCAGGCACGGTCACTGCCAGCGCGCGTCGCCACTGGGGTGCGTGAGGTAGTGCAGGCAGGCGTACTCACGCGGCGGGCTGCAGGCACGGTCACTGCCAGCGCGTGTTGTCGCTGGGGTGCGTGAGGTAGTGCAGGCAGGTGTACTCACGCGGCGGGCTGCAGGCACGGTCACTGCCAGCGCATGTCGTCGCTGGGGTGCGTGAGGTAGCGCAGGCAGGTGTACTCACGCGGCGGGCTGCAGGCACGGTCACTGCCAGCGCGTGTCGTCGCTGGGGTGCGTGAGGTAGTGCAGGCAGGTGTACTCACGCGGCGGGCTGCAGGCACGGTCACTGCCAGCGCACGTCGTCGCTGGGGTGCGTGAGGTAGCGCAGGCAGGTGTACTCACGCGGCGGGCTGCAGGCACGGTCACTGCCAGCGCGTGTCGTCGCTGGGGTGCGTGAGGTAGTGCAGGCAGGTGTACTCACGCGGCGGGCTGCAGGCACGGTCACTGCCAGCGCGTGTCGTCGCTGGGGTGCGTGAGGTAGCGCAGGCAGGTGTACTCACGCGGCGGGCTGCAGGCACGGTCACTGCCAGCGCGTGTCGTCGCTGGGGTGCGTGAGGTAGTGCAGGCAGGTGTACTCACGCGGCGGGCTGCAGGCACGGTCACTGCCAGCGCACGTCGTCGCTGGGGTGCGTGAGGTAGCGCAGGCAGGTGTACTCACGCAGCGGGCTGCAGGCACGGTCACTGCCAGCGCGCGTCGTCGCTGGGGTGCGTGAGGTAGCGCAGGCAGGTGTACTCACGCGGCGGGCTGCAGGCACGGTCACTGCCAGCGCGTGTCGTCTCTGGGGTGCGTGACGTAGTGCAGGCAGGTGTACTCACGCGGCGGGCTGCAGGCACGGTCACTGCCAGCGCACATCGTCGCTGGGGTGCGTGAGGCAGCGCAGGCAGGTGTACTCACGCGGCAGGCTGCAGGCACGGTCACTGCCAGCGCACATCGTCGCTGGGGTGCGTGAGGTAGTGCAGGCAGGTGTACTCACGCTGCGGGCTGCAGGCACGGTCACTGCCAGCGCACATCGTCGCTGGCGTGCGTGAGGTAGTGCAGGCAGGTCGTACCACGCGGCGGGCTGCAGGCACGGTCACTGCCAGCGCACGTCGTCGCTGGGGTGCGTGAGGTAGTGCAGGCAGGTGTACTCACGCGGCGGGCTGCAGGCACGATCACTGCCAGCACACATCCTCGCTGGGGTGCGTGAGGTAGTGCAGGCAGGTGTACTCACGCGGCGGGCTGCAGGCACGGTCACTGCCAGCGGGCGTCATCGCTGGGGTGCATGAGGTAGTGCAGGCAGGTGTACTCACGCGGCGGGCTACAGGCACGGTCACTGCCAGCGCACGTCGTCGCTGGGGTGCGTGAGGTAGTGCAGGCAGGTGTACTCACGCGGCGGGCTGCAGGCACGGTCACTGCCAGCGCACGTCGTCGCTGGGGTGCGTGAGGTAGTGCAGGCAGGTGTACTCACGCGGCGGGCTGCAGGCACGGTCACTGCCAGCGCGCGTCGTCGCTGGGGTGCGTGAGGTAGCGCACGGCCACACGCTGCTCGAGCGCGCGCAAGTCGCGCCATGCCTCTTGCGTCTGCAGCCACGCGTGCGCCGCGCACTTGTCCACCGACAGCCGCTTGCGTTGCTTTACTTGTAGCAGGTTGTTGATCAGGTCGATCGCTGCGGTCGGACACATGTTCGTCAGGTGTGAACCCATTATCGAGTTTGAGCAACGTTACAACCTATTTTATGCATGCAACACTAATAAGGTAGGACCACGTTTTTACAGAATATCAACTTCAAATATCGGCATACCATTATTGTCTATCAAAAGGCCATAGCTAAACATAGACGACCCACAAAGATTATTCTTCATAGTATGACGGTGCATTATTATTAATAATAATAAATAATAATTAATTGCGACAAAAGTCGTCTTAGGTAATTTATCTTAGAAGTACTATTTTTAAAACAATTAAAGTGCGATAATAAACATAAAGTAAATATATATTCATTTCAAACATAATTATATTATCTTTAAAAATTTATTAAATTTACTTAAATACATACATACATAAGCACTCACGCCTGTCACCCAGAGAGGTAGGCAGAGACTACAGATCCTGCAACACCAACAACACAAGCACGAAGTGACCTCACTGACAATTTAGTATAGCATAAACACTCACGCCTGTCACCCAGAGGGATAGGCAGAGACCACGGACTTCCATTTGACACGATCCTAACATACCTCTTTCGCCTCCTTTACATCCATATATCGACGCATACATGCTCGTCGGTTAAGGGTACTCTTAATTTGGCCCATTTTCAATATACTGCGAATTTAGTCGACAAACTTTTGCCTAAGGCGTCCCTTACCGACTCTGCCGTTCACTTCTGCAACATAAATTTGCGTTGTCACTCTTTCCTCGTTCATTCTCTCTACATGACCAAACCACCGAAGCATTCCTTTCTTAATCCTTGTCACAACATCATGTTACATACCATACCAAACTCTTCTTTTATCACACAATTTCGCCCTCCCTGTCACTCAGATTCAGCTCTAATATACTCATTAACGACCTGCCACACTCAACTTTCACTACCATACGTTAAAGTAGGGACTAACACAGCATGGTGAAGTGCCATACGTGTCTTTTTTGGCACATTCTGACTTTCCACAATAGAGTGTAGAGCCCTATTTACTTTATTTCCTACATTCTGCGTTCGTTTACTATTTTATTGCATGTTTGTGACATGTGAGTTGAATTAGTTGAAGTTATGCAGATGTGAGTCGTCAAAGATGAGAACTAAAAAGAGTCGTAAACTAATTTTCGGGAAATAGGGTTGACATCTGCCGTTTCCAGGAACCAGCTCAGCTAATGATATGGGACATAATAGAGATTTACTGCAAACATAATGCAAAGATTTAAACTCAAGTGGTGTAAACTAGTATAAACATTACACCGGTAATCCCGTTAATTAAAACACCTACCTTTCCAATATCAGTTTCATGTAATAATACATTTTTTTTAGCCTCATGAAATTAGACCTGTACTCTATATGCACTTCAAGCTCTTTATATACTTTATATCACTTCGTGCTATGAAGTTTTTGTAAAATTAAGTGGCTTTGCAAAGAGTTGCAGTGCTGAGCGTTTACAAATAATTGTTCCGGGTCTGGATGTTTGTTATTGTGAAATTTTTGTATGTAAACTGCCCTCACCATACAGGAGAAAATTCTAGGAGGTATGTAGGTAATAGTAGCTAAAATAACCGGCCATGTGCGAGTTCCACTCGAAGGGTTCCGTACCATCGTAAAACACGTGTTTAATAGGGGAGTCCCGTTTAATTTTTAATTTATTTTTATTGTTTGCTGTTATAACGGCAACAGAAATACACATTCTGTGAAAATTTCAACTCTCTACCTATTACGGATCATGAGATACAGCTTGCTGTCTGACACACGGACGTACGGACAGCGGAGGCTTGGTAATAGGGCCCCGTTGGTTACCCTTTGGGTAAGGAACCCTAAAAAAGAGACAATTATAAATAACAAATATTCAATCGTAAAATAATTTTATTATGACTTATGGTCTCAATGCATAATATTGTCCACGTTATTTTCAAAAATTATTTGCAAGGCGCGCGAACCAATAAACGTTATGATCGCCGAGGAACAAACACCACGCTTGCCGGAATACAGTGCGGTACAAAGGATTACGCAAATTTTTAAAAGTATCGATACCTACTCGATATCAAGTATTGAATAAAAAGTATCGATACCGATAAAAGTATCGACTCAAAAGTATCGATACGACTTGGTATCGAGTAATATTTATAAAATATTAGGAACCACACGAAAATACACAATAATGGTTCAATTTTATATTCATTCTAAATTATATTGCAAAATATAAGAACTAACAACTAATTACTGAACTCCCAATCTTTTATGTAGCAAACTGACATAAAAAGTAGTTTATCAAATAGTTACTGTTTTTAAACAGTACATAAATATAAAAATGTATTTGGATCATGCTCATTCAATCCGATCGTTTTCTTTTATGAATTATCTGAAAATTTTTAATAGAATAGCACATCAAAAGACTAACCGGATAATGCTAATACGTTCTCTAAGATTCTTATAAGCTGCGTTATTTTCTATTTAATATATGTTAGTACAAACTATAACGATTAACTGTATCCGCAATTGCTGTTTTAAACAACAATCTGATCGTCTTCTGATATGGATTATCTGATAAATTATTTAACTGATAAATTCTCATAAAAACCATTACGTACTCATTAGTATTATCTTTATCAAAACAATAAGTCTACCAAAACAATAAGTCGGAATTGCCGGTATTTTATTCTGGTTTTTATCCTTTTCTGATCATAATCCCATGGAAAACGAAACAAAACAATTCACTAATACAACCTCATTCACTCTATCGGTAAATTCTAGTATCGCCATTCTGGATCATAATTAATTGGGAATACTTATACAATCCGATTTGTCGTTCATGTACCAGATCAAAATTCAATGAGTCCATTATTATTATTTTCAATCTGTAAGTATACGGAATTGCTGTTTCGAAAACACAATAGTTTATCATAACTTCCAATCAAACATCGTATTTTGTTTGGATCTATCAAGCCATTTCCACAGGATATTTATTTTCATCAGAACACCCCAATTGATCTTATAAATTTGTTTAATTTTGCTAACCTCCTTTTTTTAAGCTATACCGCGAGACTTCATAATTTTAAAACTAATTTCATATTTCGCTGAATTTTGATCAACTTTCCTAAAATATTTCCACACACCACTTTGTTCTCCGCTAGGAGGTGGCATTCTGAAGAAGCAAACCAAGCAGAGCACCGGAGTCAACAGTTAAAAACAATAAAATTCACTTTTAGAAACTTTTTCATTTCAAAGACGAATACCAATCAGTCAATATTGCCATTAAATAATAACAAATAGTGATAAATTCTTTACAAAATTTGTCTTCTAATCTAATTATTTATGACTGATAGGTAGACTCTACTTAAACAACACACAAATGAAACACATTTAAATCCAAATATTTTGCGTTATCATTCCATTATATATAATATTTATTCATCAAAATTACAAGCTATATATATATATATATATATATATATATATATATATATATATATATATATATATATATATATATATATACACGTTGTCCAGTGGCAGATTTCAAAGTTTGAAAAATTATAAAGTATTTTTATTAAAATATAAAGAACATAAAAGCGCATTTTATTTTTTGAAAACGTTTTCTAAATGGCGGCCATCGACCCTAACACACTCCTCGAGTCAGGAACGCATGTTTTCGAAAACTCTTTTACAAAGCGACTGGGGATCTTGCTGATTTCTGCTCGAATGTTTTCTTTCAGCTGTGTCACAGTGGTCGGATTTGTTTTGTAAACTATAGATTTTAAGTATCCCCATAAGAAAAATTCACACGGACTTAGGTCTGGTGACCTGGGAGGCCACGGTATGGTGCCGTTCCGGGATATGATTTTTTCGGGAAACAACTTTCGCACTGCACTCATGGCCACATTAGCAGTGTGAGCTGTGGCCCCATCTTGCTGGAACCACGTATTCCGGTTACAGTATGGACTATTCTGTAATTCTAGTCTAAAAAAAATCACTGATCATCTCAGTATATCTCTCGAAATTTACTGTTACAGTTTGGCCACGTTCATTTTCGAAGAAATAAGGCCCTATTATGGCAGACGCAGATATTGCACACCATACTGTGACTTTTGGTTTGTGTAAAGGCTCTTCATGCAATTTTCTCGGGTTGGAAATATCCCAATAACGAAAATTTTGTTTATTTACATATCCTCCGATATGGAAATGGGCTTCGTCACTGAAGAATATATTACCCATCCGAGCAGTTTTAAATCTCAACAACGTCGTCTCTGCGTAAGTTTTCCTTAATTCAAAGTCAGATTCGAGTAAATCTTGGACGATTTGGATCTTATAAGGATGGAATTTAAGTTTTTTTCGCATTATTACCTGTAAAGTTGATTTACTAATACCCAAAATCGATGAACGTGCACGAAGTGATAAACGAGGTTTTTCAATCACAGAAGCCATAACACGTTCGACATTTTCGTCCGTGGCTACCGTTGGTGTTGGTCCTGGTCTGGGTCTATTTATTGTTGATCCCGTTGCTCTAAACTTTGCTACCCAAGACTGAATCAGGTTGATTGATGGTCCATCACGAACTCGACGAATACCGTAGTGATTATTAAATCGACGACGGGCTTCAGACAGCGAACATCCACTCGACAAGTACACCTCGACGGCAAAAGCGCGGTGCTCTCCACTCCACGGATCCATGGCTACTAAAAAATCCGCATCGCTTGCGCGTCGAATAACCCCCTCCGCGCCCTTCTCCTACGTTGCGTTCGAAAATTAAGTCTGTTTAAAATTTGAAATCTGCCACTGGACACCCGTTATATATTTACCCGGCCACACATGCATTATTCCAACTAATTCCCCCGAAATCCCCTCTTCAACGAGAAGAACGACGCTATACAACGGAAAAGGAAGTACTGTCTTTTGTCTGACATTTTAGTAAAGGATAAAAGTATCGAGTACAAAATTATTAGGTATCGAACTAAAAGTATCGATACTACTCAGGAACTCGATACTTTTGCGGATCCCTAGCGGTACTTGATGCAGTTAGCTGGCTTGTTTGCACTTGGCGTGTATTCATTTATTCGATGACTTAAGATCATTTGTCAATGTAGTAACAATTTGGGCCGAATGTTATGTGGATTTTGTTTACAATTACGATTTCATAGCGTCTATATTTCGTTTATAGAATAAGGATAATGTTTTTTAATCGCAATCATCGACGGTCTTTCATTCTGCTCTTGGACGAAAGCCTTTTCAAGAATACTTCAGCTTGCATTCACTTGGAAGTTAAGCATATCGTTACCACACTGGGTAGGCAGGTTGGTAGTTTACAGGTCGATATCAGCCAATGACGTTAAATGTTATTAAGGGTCAATGTAATTCAATTAAACGCTTGGCATTTAGTTTAATGCTAGCCGCCAGTTTCATCGTACGGCCTAGATGTCAGTTAGCCGGCTGATAAGGCAATAGGGCTGCGATTTATTTATTTTTCTTCTGACTTCTTCCATCTTCTTTTGCTAAGAACGAAAATGTATATACGCTGCAATTTTACGCTGGTATTTCGTAAGAGCGTAGTTCTTCCGGTTGAGCCGACTCTTCGTGCTACAACCATAATATAGCTGTATCGTGGCTCTACCATGTATAAGGTATATACATTTAGTGGACTATAGGCTAGCTTAGTTTTATTATCGTATAACAGTGATTGATGAATGTTTAACAGGTGTGCCACAAGGATGCTTTTTGGGGTCCAAGCCATTCTTATTATATACGTAGCGCATAAATTGAATGAAACATACCTTCCGCGGATATTTCTCGCCAAGGGGTCGGTGGGTACATGAAGGCTGCGTTCTGAATTTGTTCATTGATATCCTCGTCTTCGTTGAAAGGGAAAGTGCCCGACAGAGATACATACACGATGACACCAACTGACCACATGTCCAGCGATCGATTGTAACCTTTATTTCGAAGCACTTCCGGGGCTGGTGGCAAACAGATTATGGACGTTAAAGTTAATTCAAATTAGTTCAAGTTAGTTAAGATCAAGTTAGTTACTTCCAGTAAGCAATACACCGATTAGTTAAAAAATTCAAAATCATTCGGAGTTAGGAGTTTAAAAAGTTCTTTCTTAATAAGTAAAAATCTAAGCCAACTCTGTGAATTTATTTGTTTAACTTGATATTTGCGGGATTTCAACGGCATTAGGTTAGAGACTGTGTTTTAACTAACTCACCAAGATAAGCGGGCGTGCCAACAACAGAGCGTCGGAATGATTTCTCTCCAATGATTCGGGCGAATCCAAAATCACACAGCTTCACTTGAGGGAACTCATCATCGGACGACAGCAATACGTTTTCTGGCTTCAGATCACAGTGGACTATGTTCTTCTCATGGAGATGCTTTAATGCTACCAAAATCTGAGTGAAGACAAAAACACTAATATTTTTTCTATTTATAGTTTACAAACTATATTATATTAAATTATATTAGAATTTTACAAATTAAATTTAGGGCCGAAAGATACTGAAAATTTTTCATTTAATAGAACAATTATTTATCTGAAAAAAAAAACAAAGAGTAAAAATTTTAAAGAGTTCAATTGGCAAGAAATAAGATCGCTGTAATTGTGTGCGTACAAACGTACGCACACAATTACATTAATTTAAACAAATTCGATTCCACCGAGTTCATACAAAGGAGCGTTTATAGCTTAGAGTAAAATAGATACTTCCTAAGTGTAAAGTAGGGTGCACATTTTTTAAATCAAAGTTAAGTTTACTTAATGGTATATGGTTCATAAAAGATAGCTTGATTTATGGGCATGCACTAATTAGGTCGGCATGCCCATAAAGTATGACATTGACAGGTACTGCCTGTACTACTAAGAAATTCAGGACTTCATAGGCGTGATTTTACTGACAGCTGTCGCAGAGATCAAGCTATCTTTTATGAACTATAAGCTAAAATTTACTTTTAAAAAATATTAAATCCCTTTGCGATGGAATTTTACTTGGTTCACCTATTTTTACTCCTTATTTTTTTCCTCAAGGTAAAAAGGGTCAGCCGGTATATACGTACCTGTGCCACTAAGAATTTGGTTATTCTCTCAGTAAGTCTTCCCTTCTCGTGAGATAGAATCATTTCCAACATGTCTCCCTTCAGTTTCTCCATGACTACGAATATTCTTTCGGGGGTCTCGAACATTCGTTCTAAGTTCACGACGCCCGGGTGTGATAAGTTTTGTAGGATCGCAACTTCGTTTTTGAGTTGCGCTTCTTGCTTTGTAGGGAATCGGAGTTTGTCAATGACCTGTTGATAATATAATTAGGTATGTTGATAACATATATGTAATGCTGGTACTACCAACTTTGTAGAGATTTTTGGAAAAATCATTCGTTTTGTGAAGATATACTTAAAATTTTAATTGATTAATTATCGTCGTCAATCCAAAGGTCAGATACGTATAGTGCATAAATATTGTGTTAGTAAAAATAAATAAAATATACCCATTAATTAATCATTAAATTTTATATCAGTGTAAAAAAAACTATTTTCGTAGGGTATCAGATGTCACCTAACTTTTTTTATTATAATTACTGCTTTATAAGGTGATCATGAAAAACCTTCTTTGAGGTATAATTTGTAAATAATAAGGTAAAACAATAATTTTATCTAACATTTGTTAACAAGGAAAGGAAAGTTAATATATAGAAGTTACATAAAATTCATACACAAACTCATGCATGCACACTTGTAAAATCCTGTCCGTTTTAAGTTGAAAGCGGGTTGAAATTAATTGAAGAATTCTATTGTATTAAATAACATCGTAGACTATGTTAACAATTATATTACATAATGGCGGATATTATAAACGTGAGCAGCCATTGCATTTATGTCCAAAAATAAAGCTATTTAATTCATTTCACAAAAAAGTTAATTTACTTTAAATAAAAAAAACAGATAAAATTTTAAAATCAAAGCCAAGAACATTGCTTTTTAATATATAATAATGAGAGGTGAACCCACTCAATAATGTACTTAGCATTTTATCAAAGTTTTTGAGAAATGGCAAACCTATATGTAGCAAAAATAAGGAAGTATTTCCTAACCTAAAGCTTATAATCTAAATCCATAATAAAACGTTATCCTTATAACCCAATAACATGCAAATTTCTCCTTGGATGATATTCGAAATCAAGCAACAATCTAAACCTAAGAGAAACCTCTTTGTAAATTACTAAATATAGAATTGTTCTAGCCTCACTCGCTGTTGCTAGATTGATAGGTTATATATATATATATATAAATATTTAAATATATATATATATATATATATATATATATATATATATATATATATATATATATACATCATCATCATCATCATCATTACAGCCCTTCACAAGTCCACTGCTGAACATAGGCCTCCCCCAAGTAATGCCACAAAGCACGGTCCTGAGCCACCTGCATCCATCGACTTCTTGCATGTCTTACCAGGTCGTCACTCCATCTAGTGGGGGGTCGCCCTACACTACGCCTACCGGTACGAGGCTGCCACTCGAGAACTTTCTTCCCCCTCGGTTATCGGTTCTTCGAGCTATATGGCCGGCCCATTGCCACTTCAGCTTACTAATCCGTTGGGCTATGTCGGTCACTCTGGTTTTATCGATGCGGTGCGGATATCCTCATTTCTGAGTCTATCACGCAGTGAAACTCCGAGCATAGCCCTCTCCATAGCTCGCTGAGCGACCTTGAGCGTCCTCATACGGCCAGCGGTGAAGGACCACGTCTCAGATCCGTAAGTCATCACTGGCAACACGCACTGGTTATACACTTTAGTTTTCAGAGATTGAGGTATACCTGACGAGAAGATGTGTCGTAATTTCCCGAACGCTGCCCAGCCGAGTTGAATCCGTCGATTGACCTATCGGTCGAAGTTGGACTTACCTAGTCGGACTATTTGTCCCAGGTAAACGTACTCGTCAACAACTTCGAGCATAGTGCTCCCAACAACTACCGGCATAGGTGTGACATGGACATTAAACATGATCTTTGTTTTGTCCATGTTCATCTTAAGACCTATCCGTTGGGAGACACCATTGAGGTCATTGAGCATAGTGCTAAGGTCCTCCAGCGATTCTGCCATAAGGACTATATCGTCGGCAAATCGAAGGTGAGTGATGTACTCGCCGTTGATGTTAATACCGTATCCTTTCCAGTCCAGTAGCTTGAAAACGTCTTCCAACGCAGCGGTGAAGAGTTTCGGGGATATAACGTCACCCTGTCTTACACCTCTCTGCAGTTGGATAGGTTTCGTACTCTGGTTCTGTACTCGGATAGCCATCGTAGCCCTACTGTACAAACACTTCAGCACTTCAATATACCGACAGTCAACTAGGCACCGCTGAAGAGACTATAGCACCGCCCAAATTTCGACGGAATCAAAGGCTTTCTCATAGTCCACATACGCCCGGCAAAGTGGCAGATTGTACTCTTCGGACTTCTGTAAAATTTGCCGAAGGGTATGTATGTGGTCTGTGGTACTGAAGCCTTTTCGGAAACCGGCTTGTTCGGGAGGCTGGAAGTCGTCGAGTCTGCGTGCGAGACGATTCGTAATGACTCTCGAAAACAGCACGTAGACGCGGCTCAGAAGGGAAATCGGTCTGTAGTTCTTCAAGAGAGCGTTGTCGCCTTTCTTAAAGAACAAGACCACCGCGCTTCTGCTCCACGCCTCCGGAGTATTGCCACCATGGAGGACGGAATTGAAGAGCTTCTGAAGGACTTCAAGTACCGGTGTTCCACCCGCTTTCAGAAGCTCCGCTGTAGTTCCATCCTCGCCCGGGGCCTTGCCGTTTTTAAGGTGGTGGAGAGCCATTCTAATCTCGCTCAAACTGACGTCCGGGATATCATCGGAATAGTGTCGGATAAGACTTGCTCTTGGATCGTTACTCACACTTGCGTGTGGCTCCAACGATGATGTGTACAGCTGCCCATAGAACCTCTCAATCTCACTCAGAATCTCAGGTGTCCCGGAAACGATGCTGCCACACTCAGTCTTCAGCCTTGACAGTTGGCTCTTTCTGGCAGACAGATCTCTGGCAAAGACTTTGGAGCCCTGGTTCCGCTCGATCGCTTCTTTAATACGAGCAGTATTAAAGTTGCGTAAATCTCGCCGCATGCATTTGGAGATCTGTCTGTTCAGTTGCCTGTATGCTGTCAAATCTGTTGACGATTGCAGCTTCATCTCCCGTCTAACAGCCATGAGATTAAGAGAGTGATCGGAGAGTTTTTGTGTTCTCCTGCGGCGGGTCTTGCAGAACTTAGCTCCGACCGCATGGACAGTTTCCACGAGCTTGTCATTCATATCGTCCACTGCATTGCAATCCTCTAGGCACTGAAAGCGGTTTTGTAACTCGAGCTGAAAGGTTTCGGGATTCTGGATTAGAGCACGAGGGGGGACGGAGCGTTGACTTCAATAGACGAGACCTCTCCAACTTAACATTTAGGTTCAGTGTGTGTCTAACCATTCGGTGATCGCTGCCAGTTTTCACCCTTGCGATCACTGAGACATCACTGAACAGTTGGCGTCTGGTCGTCATAATGAAGTCAATCTCATTTTTTGTCGAACCGTCGGGGCTCGACCAGGTCCACTTCCTGTGGGGCCGCTTCTGGAAGAAAGAGTTCATCATAAAGAGTCCCTCTTTCTCCATAAAGTCGGCCAGCTGCTGGCCCCTTCGGTTCCGTTGCCCTACTCCAAAATTCCCCACCTTCAGCTCACCGCTTTCTCTTGTGCCTAGTTTTGCGTTGAAGTCTCCCATCAACACCGTGTAGTGGGTTTTGGAGGAATGCATGGCTCTGGAAATATCCTCATACATTTCCTCCACCTCCTCATCGGGATGTGCCGAGGTTGGTGCGTAAACCTGTATGACCTTCAGCGAATACCGTTTGGTGATTCTGAGTATCAGGTACGCGACCCTCGTCGATACACTCCCAATCTTTACAACGTTGTTGACGAGAGACTTGTGGACGATAAATCCGACACCTCCTTGGGACAGATGGTCGCCCTCCCGGTGGTAGAACAAGTTGCCGGACTCGAGGATTGCCGTATCCTCCCCCTCTCTTCGGACCTCGGATAATCCAATAATATGCCAGCGCAACTTGTCTACCTCTTCTTCCAGCTCCAGTATCTTCTCGTCAGTCCTCAGAGTGCGTGCCTTATATGTTGCCAGCTCGAGTCGTCGTAGGTGGCAACCGAACCTCCACCGGAGATTCTTAGCACCCCCTGCCCCGCCGTTACCATGGTCGCCACCGTAGCCAGGAATAGCGGGGCCGCCGGGGACTGGGGGCCGTTTTTTTGCGTCGTTATTCATGGGGGGATATTTGCCATAGGCCACGCACAAAAAAAAACGTTTGTGACAAATTTTTCATGTCATGGATATTATAGGAGCCGTACATGGGAAACGCACGCGAAGGAGAGATTTATTTATAGGATCTGCGAAAACGTAGCCAGGAGTTTAATAACGGTAGAGATACCTTGATCGCGACGGGTCGTTGCGTGCGTCGGTGCAGGCCGCCGTACACGATGCCGAACTGGCCGGAGCCGAGCACCTCGTCGGGGTAGATCTGGTACAGCTGCGCCATCTCCGCGGCGCGCCCCGCCCGCCCGCAGCCCTCACCATCGCCCTCGGCGCCCTCCCCCTCCGCACCCTCCCCCCGCCGCCGCGGCGGCATCGCCCCCCTCCGCTACGCACACGCCAATGACTTTATAGCTTTTTACTAGAGATAGGCCAAATATGTATTTCACCGAATACGAATATTCAGCCGAAAGTTCGGTAAAACTTTTACCGAACTGAATATTCGACCGAACATTAGGCAGATATATAACCAATTTATATCGAAACTTTTTACCATAAAGCGCGCGGAATTAGCACCGGACCCTGCCCCTTGCTCATCATCTAGTACTATACTGAGCAAAGTGCCAGCACATGTTTATGTTTTTAAAATATTTGTGAGAAAAAAATGTTTCGTTGTGTTATTCTCTGTGAAAATTGATACGAGTGGCAGATCTACTCTTTAGACTTATTTTAGAGAAACTGACGACCAAAGTAAAGTGTGTGTGTAAAAATGTACTAATGTAATGTAATGTTTCTTTGTTTGATTCCAAAAATATTTTATCAAGCTTTCTATTTACTATAGTTGGAAATAAATCTTTATTGCCTTAAAAACATAACGCTATACAAATAGATTTAACCCATAAATAAAATATCCTTTCAACAGTAAAATTATAAAAGAGATTTCAGTATAGTGGACACTTTGAGTAACTTTAACAAATGTTCGGTGATTTAGCTGAATATTCGGCCCATCTCTACTTTTACACACTAGACAAAGACTTCTATATATACACTAAACTGGCAATTCAGAACAAAAACTGTGTCATATCTATGGCAATAGCTGGCACGGTAAATATATCCCACAGTTGTATTTTCAATTAAAAGCAGTTACTGTTTTTAGGTAAATGTATAATAAAGGTATATTCTTATCTGAAATAAACTTCACCACGGTGACAGTGTGCGTGTACAAAAATAAGGACAGCGTTTTCTTAGTCACATTAAACATAATCAGTGTTAGATTGTCGAAAAACAACGTTTTATAAGACAAAGAACTATTCCTCTTGTACGGTCGCAGTCGACTTTAGGTATAACGGAATATTGACAAAATGAATTAAAATGCAAATACGTTGTCACCCCTTAGGACTATGATCTAATGCCTCGTTTCCAGTAAAAAGGGTCTCCGGTATTATACACTCACCATACGAAACACAGCAACATTAAAGTGCTATTTTACGCTATGGTTCATAAAAGATAGTTTGATCTCTGCGACAGCTGTCAGTAAAATCACGCCTATGAAGTCCTGAATTTCTTAGTAAAGGTACAGACAGTATCTGTCAATGTCATACTTTACGGGCATGCCGACCTAATTAGTGCATGCCCATAAAGTATGACATTGACAGGTACTGTGAATGTCATACTTTATGAGCATATTTGACAGGTACTGTCAAGTCATACTTTATGGGCGTGCACTCATCAAGTTAGCTTGATGCACTCAATGCATCAAGCTATCTTTTATGAACTATAGTATTCTGTGAGCCCGTGGTCCTACTCCGATCGAGCCGATCCATTCGTACCACAACCATAATATCGCTGTAGCGTGTCTCTACCACATACAAAATTCCTATTTAACTAATTGACATTAATGATCAGAATAATTCTATCAGTTTAAAGATTCAGCTCTCGGTATATTTTTAGTAAAGAGCGTGTACGAGCACGCACATTACTGAAATTACGTGCACGTGTGATGCATTTATTACAAGTAAATTTTTTAATAATATTAATAAGACGATCGCAAAACATAATACATCACAGTTACAGCTCAGTTCCTTTTAAAACATTGTGAAAGACGTGTATATCTGACTTTATTACTTAAAAATAGAAGACGGTTTCGTCTTTTTTTACAATTTTCTTATTTAATAAATTAAAAGTGATAAACGATCCTTCTAATGGCGGCCCCTGTTGGTGGGGATGTAGAGTTAAATATTTCCGTGGCGCTGCCAATTTGTCCCTATATGCAATTGAACTGTGCTAATCCGACATGACCTGTTTTTCCTCCCACGTTGTGGGTATGTAATCGTTTGTGATTTTTATTTTTCTTTGGTAATGGACCCGTACGTTTATACTTTTGCCAGTGTCAAGTAATAAGAAATGTATAATACAAAGGATTTATATTATTTTGTTTCAATATTTTCTCACAATATACCGATGCGTCATATTGAGAACAGCTAAACCCAACGGATAGTCGATGGCGACATTAACTGAAGTATTTAAGGTGCCTTAGCGGACAAATAACTTTAGATTTATATCAACATCGGAGTCTTGTTTCGGCATTTGCATTATAGTTCACGTGCGTACATACTTAATACACAAAATTGCATTACTTTTATGCAATAATAACCTACTTAAAACCTTTATGTAAATGATAAAACAATAGCAACAGTCGGCCGGCGGTCAAGTTCCTCGTAATTTTATTTAAATAATGGCTGTTTAATACTATTTTAAAAAACCCAACTGCGAAAGAAATTTACTGATAAGGCCTATTACACGATTATATAAGAGCAATATTACAGATTTATAATAAGTTTTGAAACTTCAAGTGAGAATGGTTGCTTTCCAACATTAAATCGTTAAATATGGTAAATGATTATTTCGAAATGAAAAATGATTAGAGAAACCTAAAGATAATTTTTAAAGACCTATTTAATCTTTTTATCATTTTGAATTTTGATTATTGTCACGTTTTTAGTGACACTCACTAGATTAAGAAATTAATTGATGTAAGAATCATCAAAATTGACCCACGTGTTGGAGAGAGCTCTAGAGAGCTAAAAGGGATCAAACATAGATACATGATATATGGGCGGATAAGCACATTACCATCCTTTGCGTCGCGCAGTTAGATTAGGGATAATCAATGTTAGAAAAACATCGATGTTAACATCGATTCAAAAGTATCGATGTACGATAAATATCGAAAGAAAAATATGGATGTTCGGAAATATTGATGTTTTAGGTGGCAAATAAACAATCTAGTATTATTTTATATATTAAATGTATTTATCACGGTAAGTATAAATAAATTAACATTCCCAGTAATTTACGGTTCGATATATAAAAAAGTAACTTTGTTAGAAGTTTTCTCTTTAATCTGTTCCTTTGTTGATACAGATCATGAAGGTTAGAGAACAGGAGAACGATTGCCGTAGAAAATAGTGTCCTAGAAATATGGACACCATAAATGAGGCGCTGCGATCGCTAAGTTCGGTCAATAAAAGTCATTTTCAGTCTATTTTTCCGATCAGATGCTAAACCACCTGCACATCCACGCACAATAAAATATTTCTCCATTTTTTAATGTTTCTTCTTGTCAAAAATTACAAAATTACGGAGCATGAAAATTTTCTCACCAATGCCGCGGAGAAAATTTGTACATTATTCAACTAACTTCATGTACTTATACTCATAAACGGCTAACTTCGCAGTCACTACACACCGACGTTAGCGCCGCTATACATTCTACAATTTTCAAGGACAGTAGCGCGCCTGTCCTGATGATGCTTTATTACGTAGTGATCGTTCTCCTGTTCTCTAACTTTCATGATACAGAGGTTGACCAGTTTTTAAAAAAAGTCTTTCCAAAGCTGCCAAGTCGCTACGCAGCAAAAATGTTCAAAATGGTCTTGTTCTTCAAATTTGGACGAATGGATTGCAGTTTAAGTATATCGTTGTTCCGATATAATTTACATGATATCGATGTGCCGATGTTTTCGAGGACTTAACATCGATGTTTTCCCTCTATACATCGATGTTTATGTACCATCGATGGAATTCCAGGATGAGCACGTTGGGTAACGGACGTACCTCCGCGGTGCGTGACGGGCATGAGCGCCTGGCGCACGGCGGTCTCCCAGGAGCGCGCGAGGTAGGCGCCCACGCCCGAGTCCGGCGGCGGCGCGCCCGCCTGCTCCACGCCCACCATGTAGTCCACGTTCGCCGTGCGCAGCTCGAAGCAGTGCATCACGTCTGCGGGTGTACACGCGGTCTTAGCTACCGCAATAACGTAATGTCACCATAATTCAAACTAAACACGTTTTTAAAGACGAGCGACATCAAAATCGTACGGATACATACAAAGTCAATCAAATGTGAGTAACTCCGAATCCGTAAACCGTACGTGTACTTTATACCAATCTTAATTATTTAGATAAAGCCCTGACGATGGACAAACTTTACCACGATCTTGATGAAACCGCAGTCGTGAGGAATATACAAGTTATATAACTATCACAATAGTTATATAGTCATATAGCCAGCTTAAAAGTTAAAACAGTAATTAAAACTACCCAACTGCGTTAGAAGTTTACTGAAAAAAACCTGGCTCTCACTTTTTTATATTTGCATATTCATTTATTAAATATACAGGACAATTTTTCAAAAAGTAGACAAAATTTAAACTTCAGTTCAAATATATAAATAATGATATACCGTTATTGCGGTTTTAGAAAATACGAGTAAATAAGGCATTGAAGTAATATGTACTTACGTACTAACACAGCTATTTCAAACAAAAAATGTGCGCTATTCGCGCGGTTGTTTTTTTATTATTGAATAAACATAGGTAGAATGATCAGTAGGTAATAGTAAATTGTACTGATAAATAGGTAAATTATATCGAGAACAATATTTAAATTTTGTCATTTATGTTGTATATTATATTTGCTTATTTAATATAACATTATATTATCAAAATTACATTTTAATGATATTTTTATCTAAATATTTTAAAAGGTATCTATGTCAAATATAAAAAAAACTAAATGTACGTTTAACAAAACTTATTAACATAACATTTAAATTACAAATATATTTATTTAAATTAGAACAAGAGTCGTTCATAAATGCTGGGCACGCGAGAGTTAAAAATGGACGAATTTATTCCACTTTGACTTTGATGTGGAAACCTAAAAATAAAATAAAAGAATAATAAGCAGATTTAAATATGAAAAGTTTGGCCTAATTATAATAACCTATATATGTTTCTACAAAAAAAATGTGTGTAATAATATTATATTTGTCCTATACTTTAGTACCCACAGAAATGCCGTATCTGAACATATTAATTTCATAATCTATATTCCATGACACGAGATGGCTTCTAAGGAATAATTTGTTTTATTATTAATCTAAAATACTTTTTTATTGATTAAGTATCTTATTAACCGATGAAAAGTAATTCCTTGGTTTTTACTGACATTTCTTGAATTATTTGTGCAAATTCTAAGTACACACGACGGCATATTTTTATCAAAATATTTTTTTTTAAATCAACACAACACGTGAAAACTCTACAAGCGCCTAGCGAGTAACTGATTAAAGTGCGGTGTATGCACCGCAGTTGAGTGGAACACAGTAGCTGATATGCAGTGTCGCCTCTAGTACGTAAGTACATAATAGCTCAATGAAATAAGGCTTCTACTTTTATTTAAAATTATCTCACATTGAATGTGATTTATGGACAACAACGTTTTTGCCTATCGATCGACCCTTACGAATGTGTGCGTGCGCAGTGAAATCAGTTCAAATAATGCATTAACACGCATTTTGAATTTAAAATATAAAAAGACAGAACGTTTGAATTTTTTATATTGATTGTTCTTAACCCTTTGCCTATCTAATACCTTCTCTGCAAATTTGCCGGTTATTGCAAATAACCCTGTATATTATAAAGCCTATATCGCTCTCACAATTAATCCCCTATGACCCTTTAGCTATAGATCGTTCTAAAATATGGACTACATACATACCCTCCCTCTTACTCATCAGATTTTATGTAAAATGTTTGTATCAATGAGAATGAACCCTGATGTTCCAATAAAAATAACAATTTGAAGTATCTAAATTAAAAATATACATTGGGTGTGTTTGGCATAAAAAATCGCTAGCAAGCGCTTGTAAGCAAAATGGCGATCGTAAGGGGTAAGAGCTGTCAAATCGTAAGTAGCTATTTTCTTCTAGGACACGAAGTTAGTTTTAAACGGGGAACCTATCCTAATTTAAATATATGTTTGTAAAGTATTCATATTAAAAACTTACCAATCATGAATTTTTAGTAATATGTATATGTTTATTCATGTCATTATATTACTTAAAACTAATATTGGCACAAAACAACTTGTAAACTCTACTTCAAAACAAACAAATTAAATAAGCAAAATGGCGGATTGTGTCAGCGCTACTGAAGTTAGCAAACGTGTCCTGGCCGAAAACTGTTTAGTTTCGCCATTTTGCTTACAAGCGCTTGCTAGCGCTTTTTTCTGCCAAAAGCACCCATTACAGAGGTTCAACTTACCCGAGTGCGGTTGTCTGGCAGTGTCCACAGCTAGTATCTCATTCAGCGGGATCTCTTTGTAATACTTGGAGCCTTGTTCGGACGTGAAGAGGGTGATAGACTTGCTGTCTAACCGCCAGTAGTGGCGTTTGATCTGGAATAGTTTGGAGAATTATAAGATTTGTGATATCGTTCACTCGCTTCATAGTGTCTCGATGCATCACTATTGTCTCTATATAGTCAAATTTCCTTTAAAATAATCGATGAAATTATTGCTATTTTCGACATATTCTAAAAACATCTCCCTTCTTTGCAATATATTTAATTGTTTAAAATATTATATCGAAACTTTATGTTTAAAAATTCGCCCTGGGTTTCTTGCCGTTCTTTCCAGGCCAGAAATTTTTTGCCGAACTAAAGCTGTGCTTTTCAATAACGATTCTTGCAATATATATTGAAAAAAAAGATTTTATGAGCTTTTGGCGCCTGCACGACTGTTTTTGGGATGCGCATCTGCATCTACGAAGTGAACTTTTTTTATATAGAAGAGGGGGCAAACGAGCATACGGCTCACCCGATGTTAAGTGACTACCGCCGCCCATGATCAACCGCAACACCAGGGGAATTGCAGGTGCGTTGCCGGCCCTTTAGAAAGGAGTAAGCTCTTTTCTTGAAGGTCCCCAGGTCGTATCAAAACTTTTAAATAATAAGTTTTTATAAAACAGAAATGACAAACCCGCAACCTATTGCAAATGAAGATGACAGTTGCGATGTCACCTATGACGGCTAAGGTGGAGGAATCCAACAATGATTCCCAGCACAGTTACACAATCACACTTTATCACCTTATCAGTTTTTTTAGGTGACAAACGAGCACAAAGTCCACCTAATGGTGTGGCCTATAGACACCCACATTTATCTTCAATTAAGAGTCAAAATGCAGATGCGTTCTCACCCCTGAGGACTAAGATGGAATGCCTCGATTCCAGTAAAAAAGGCCTCCGGTTTCTACACTCACCATACGAAACACAGCATTATTATGCTGCATTTTTACTCAGGTATTCTGTGAGAGTGTGATCCTGCCCCGTTCGAGCCGCCCCTTTCGTGCTACAACTATAATATAGCTGCAGCGTGGCTCTACCACGTATAGTCTATTGAATACTAACCTCTCCCATAGTAGGGAGAATTACACCAGAAGTCAAGTAACCTTTGACAGTATAGCTCGCCGTCGGCGAGGGTATTTTACGCCTGGCGTGAACGAGACAGTTATACCGCCATCTAATGGAAGCCATAAGCTTCTGTCATTTCCCATAGACACTTCTAACAACACAATTGTACTACAAGTAATAAACTAAATTTTGTTTATACTGGATGACTTTTTTACTTTCTGGAAAAAATAGGGTGTAACATGTGAACGGAGTAGAAGCCTATGGCACTGATTATTTTACAAAAAATAAAAATATTTTTTTGAATTAATTAAATAAATAAATTAAAATCTATCGAAATTCAAATCCAACCTACGTTAGGAACGGCAATTAAATAATAAATTTAGTAGGCATCTTTGACCTTGTCATTTTGCAGGGTCACGGGCTAAAGGGCAAAGTAATTGTTCAAAAAAATCTTTTACGCCGTTCAGATGTTACACCCCATTTTTTTTCCAGACGGTAAAAAAAGGTCATCCAGTATAGAAAGTATAAACATAAATTAATGTTTTGTTTCCTTTTGAGATTTGAATTTAATATACTTCATTCAGCGACGAGGTACGTTCCTATAAGTACATGTTGCCTTCGTCCCGTTACTGAGCCTTTCCTCTTATTGCAAATCCGTAACTTACCGTTTTGTCCTTGTTAGTGAAGTGCACCATCCAGCCCTCCTTCAGCCACTGCCCGTCCCTCTTCTTGGTGTGCTTCACGGATTGTACAATACGCATGAGTGGTATATTGGCGCTGGGCGATGAAGACGAGCTGAAACAGTCAACACATCAGCTCCATCTGCGTTGCGAGACGTTTAGAGTATAAGAATAGATGCTGTGGTGGTAATACCCCTGGTATTTAGGAAGGTTTCTTCTAAAAATAAATAAAAATCACAATTCTGTATTTTATTGTGGGAGCGCTGTCGTCACAAGCGTGTCTAAATCACGCTCTCAAAGTTTTTGAACTTCAGAGAGCGTTGCTCCTGGGAGTGAATAATTCCATCTAAGTCCTTAGAGGTTATTTTGATTTTTAATCGAGGATATAAAGTAACGTATGGGCCACAGCATTCACTGACCATCAAGTGGACGCGTGCTTTTTGTGACCCTTACTTGTGGATAAAAACAATCACGAAATTGATTATAAACTATAATTTTATTTTTTCGAAATATATAAATATCTGCATTATCTTTATTAGCAAGTAAACGTGTAAAATAAATCAATTAAATATGATCTATTATAAATACCCTTGCGTCAAATGTAACAAGAAAATTTATTGATTACATGCAAATAAAAACAATAAAAATATTTTATTATAATCCGCGCGCGATCTGAATGGGATGGAACTTTCTTCTTCTTTTACTTTTTTCTAGACCTGGTTCCATTAAATTGGGATTCTATGTTTATTTTTATTTCCTTATAAAATCTTATAATAAGTTAATTGTAAACAACTGCTCTAAAGCGAAGTAGGGTTAGCAAATAAGTTTTAAATATTTAACATTTATTTATTTGAACGATCACACATATTTACATCTAGGGATTATTGAAATTGTTCATATTTGTAATAATTATATATTTCCAAGTCCTTATATATGGTAGTTTGATTAACTGCATTCTCTTTTTATATCGATATAGATTTTACATCACAGTGTACTGCGATGTAGGATAAAGTTAGTTAGCTACTTAAATGTAGTTGTAAGTATGTTATTAACATAGTTATTAATACTTACAATTAATAGATTTAATATGATTGCACGAGTATCTTGTGATTGTTATAAAATAGGTAATAAATTATGTCTAGCAATTGCTCATGAGTAGACTTATGTGGCTCCGAAAGAATATTAGCGCTGCAGTAACTATGTTACAGTAACATTAAGCTGCAACGATAGCGTTTTTGTAGCTGCAATTCATTTTTTTATTGCAGTTGCTCTCTTTGAAGAACATTTTATAAATTTATAATTAAACCAATTTTAAGTATATAATTTCACTTATTCCAAAATTTTATTTTTGTCTACATAATAATATCAATTACGAAAAAAGCAAAGAAAATAATTATTATATTAAATACAAACAAAAATACACAGCAAATTACCCCATCGTCTTACGAACTACGACGCGAGTTTGCTGACGCTACAGTTGGTGGACGGAACATGCACGGATTGTAACCAGATATTCAAATAATCAAAAAAAATTCAATAATGAAAGTTTTGCCAAATGTAGTGTGTAAACATTTGCACTTAAAGTCAAAGTAAATCATTTGAAATAAATACAGACGATGTGATAAGAGGGACCTCAGAGATTTAGAAAAAGAGAATATTGAGAAAAGGTTTTAAAAGGAGAAGAAGCCCCACATCCCCACCACCGCACAGCACCAAAAATATCTACTACAGTCACCTGCTAGGTCTACTTGCCGACCGATCTGGCAGGATGTCCCTTTGCGGTTCCTCCAAGTCCTCCGCACGTCTTCTAAGCTGCACCTTGGACGAAACAAATTTATCATATAGCATTGCTTAATTCGTATACGTTTTTAAGAGGATTTCCGGGCGGCGCGTCTTTTATTTTCTCCCTGGATAATGACACTTGAACAAATACTTTCTTTTACAAAATTATCTATATTTACTATTGTCGCGTTCCTGTATTGTTTTCTTTCAGAACAGTATTTTCTTAAACTCGAATTGTCTAATCACAGAAACTGCCCAGTTATTCCGGCGATATTGGATACCCATAGTTTATCGAAGATAAAAAGTAAAAATTGGAATCGTTCCAGTTTTGGGGAAATTAACAGGGGAATAAAAGATGACAACTTTGTCAATTTTCATAAGTTTAGTCAGTATGCGATGGAAATTGATCAGAGGGAAACTGAGTCAGGAGATGGGCAGTAGAATCTTCCTGATAACAGTCGAATGAAAGCGGCAACTATGGTAAATATCCCCTCATAATACTATCTATGTGAGACGCTTAACTTTTGCAATGGACTTTTGATAGGCTGTGACAGTAACAAAGGGCGGACTGAATGACTGAATGCTTTCTTGCCTTTCATCCAACTCAACCTGAGACTTGATAATAGCATAGTGCAAGTAAAAATGGAGTCATACGTCTTGTTCGGTATCGTCGGTGACGCCATCTGCTCCCTCATCAGATTCGTCGTCGGGAAGCCGCGCGTTTTCTGATAGTTCCGATCCAGTGCTGCAGCTGTCCTGGTATTCACCTGTTCATAAACAACAATACATACATATTCAAGGCTATCCCGGAAATTGCAGGCGAGAAATATGAAGACGATTCACTCAAAACTGGCTTTGTCTGATTTGGACAAAAACTTCTATGTATACAAAACGTGCTCTGCAGCCTTAAGTCATGTACCACGCTAACGTGATGCGTCTTGCGTCTACGATAAGCGGGAAAAATAACAATACAGAGACAAACTGGAGGTGTCATGTTGGTGCGCCTGGCGTACGCGTCAAGCAACCGTGACCAGCGGAGGATATAGGTACGTATTCGCGCATCTTGCGTTTTAATCAAATCTTGATGATATTTACGGGAGATGTTTATTAGCGAAATAATGTCTTGATCTGCAGTATGAAAAATTATAAACATAATATTATATTTCTCAAAACTTTTGCGGGTTTTTCTTTTTTACGTATTTCATCATACAGTCTACGATATTCACCAAACTGATGTCTGTTTTAGTTTAAACCATGAACTCCTATTTTAATTTGCATTACATCTTGCGCAAGAAAACTACTCCCTTCTAGACACGAAAGTGTTAATTTAGAGAACTTCATATTTTAGCCGGCGCAAAAATAGCAGAAAGAAATCACATGTCATGCAGTCACCACAACGTGGCACACTACAGCGCAAGGTGGAGCGTCTTTACGCCTCCCGCCTCCCTCCGCTGTCCGTAGTCGCTCTAGCGTGGCCAACGTGAATATATTACGCACTAAGTTACGGGTAACTATCCGTAACTCCTTTAGTCGACTGAGGAGTTATCCCTATTTTGTAAACCGCGAATGTTGTTTTCGACAACCTAACACTGAATATGTTCAATGTGATGATTTCTTAAATTTACGCGAACACTACACATTGAATAAAACTAAATTTACGGATTCTATCGCGTTTATTTAACTGATTTTACTTATTTTTAATTTCCCGACGTTTCGGGTGCTTTACAGCAACCATGGTCACGGGGGGGGGACTGAGACGTTTGACGTGCCAATGTCATTGTTAGTCCGGCTACCTTCAGTTTTTGAATATTAAATTTTTGGTCCGATTTACGCAAAACGAACTTACAGTATCTTGAAGTCTTGCAGTGGTATGCTTGGGTTTGGGTTTAATTTTGTTAATGATAGGATCCCAAGCAGATGGCAGCACCCAACCATCGTCTCAATTGAAATTAGGGTGTTTTTTAATTTCAATAGCTTCGCGTATCATCCTTGGTAGGAATCGGTGTTCTTTTGCGAGGATTTGTGGTTTATCAAATCTGATGTAATGGTGGGGACGATCCTGAACATGTTCACAGACTGCAGACTTCCCGGAGCGTCGGTGCTTCACGTCAGCTATATGTTCTTTCACGCGGGTTTTTATGGATCTTTTTGTATGACCTATGTAAGAGAGACCACATTCACAATCTAACTTGTACACTCCTGCATCTTGTAGAGGGATATTACACTTGACGGATGGTAAAAATTGACTAATCTTCTTCGGCGGCTTGTAGTATGTTTTAATGGAAGCTCGCTTCAAGATGTAGCCAACCTTGTCTGTGACTCCTCTGACATATGATGGAAGGAAGAGTTCTACAAGCAAGTAGATGGTGTGGCGATGGGTTCACCTGTATCTCCTATAGTCGCCGATATATTTATGGAGGACTTCGAGGAGAAAGCCCTTCTTACTGCTCCTGTAAATCCAAGATTCTACAAGCGGTACGTAGACGACACCTTCACAATTTTACCATCTGACAAAGTAACTGCATTTTTAAACCACCTTAACTCTATAAACTCTAAAATACAATTCACAATGGAGTTAGAGGCAAATAATTCTTTAGCTTTCCTAGATGATTTAGTCATTCGAAATCCTGATAACACTATTGGTCACACTGTGTATAGAAAAAAGACCCATACCAACCGATATTTAAATGGTGAATCTCACCATCATCCTTCACAGTTAGCTACCGTAGGTAAATCTTTGTTTCAGAGAGCACGAGGGATCCGTGACAGAAAACATCTGGCCGCCGAGCTGCAGCATGTCAAGTAAGTGTTGCAAGACAACAGGCGCGGAACCCGCGCCTACGTCACAGTGACCGAGTGAAGCCGGCCACAGTCTAGCGTGTACCTGCTGTAATACCATATGTCAGAGGAGTCACAGACAAGGTTGGCTACATCTTGAAGCGAGCTTCCATTAAGACATACTACAAGCCGCCGAAGAAGATTAGTCAATTTTTACCATCCGTCAAGTGTAATATCCCTCTACAAGATGCAGGAGTGTACAGTAGATTGTGAATGTGGTCTCTCTTAAATAGGTCAAACAAAAAGATCCATAAAAACCCGCGTGAAAGAACATATAGCTGACGTGAAGCACCGACGCTCCGGGAAGTCTGCAGTCTGCGAACATGTTCAAGATCGTCCCCATCCTTACATCAGATTTGATAAACCACAAATCCTCGCAAAAGAACACCGATTCCTACCAAGGATGATACGCGAGGTTATTGAAATTAAAAAACATCCTAATTTCAATAGAGAAGATGGTTGGGTGCTGCCATCTGCTTGGGATCCTATAATTAACAAAATTAAACCCAAACCCAAGCACACCACTGCAAGACTTCAAGATACTGTAAGTTCGTTTTGCGTAAATCGGACCAAAAATTAATATTCAAAAACTGAAGGTAGCCGGGCTAACAATGACATTGGGACGTCAAACATCTCAGTCCCCCCCGTGACCATGGTTGCTGTAAAGCATCCGAAACGTCGGGAATTAAAAATAAGTAAAATCAGTTAAATAAACGCGATAGAATCCGTAAATTTAGTTTTATTCAATGTTCAATGTGTTTAAAAAAAAAACGCTGTCATTATTTATATTTATCAACGTGATTTAAAGTTTATTTCAGATAAATATGTAACTTTATTTCGTGTTTGCCTAAAAGCGGGAACTGTCGTGGATGAAAATAAAACCGCGTGGCATATTTACCGTGCCAGCTACGTCTGTGTCCGCGGGTACCACAGCTGTGACACAGCTTTAGTCCCGAAATACCAGTCTAGTTAGTATACATAGAAGTCTTTAGATTTGGAGTTCGTCATTACTGCTGACTTCTCTATTTGTATTGCCAAGCAGCACAGCTGTGTTCTAGTTTGAAGGAGAAGGGCTAATATAATTACAGTCTGTTAGGGATTTCATATTAGCCCTATCGTTAGAATACGTTATGTCTATTGATCTTCTCTGACAACAGAGATACGGAATTTTTCAAGACAAGTATTAATGAGTATTTTCTAAACTAACGTAATTACTGTAATATATAATAACTCTAATAACAGAATTAAGCGGTCTGAGTTATTCCATATAATAATATATTCAATTTAAAGGTTTAACGTGCACTGGAATACATACTACTGTTATACACTTGCCTAAAATAATTTCAATTATGTTCTGTTATTTGATACCAAAGAAAGCAACCATAAGCTTCCGGATTATGAATTCATCTACTCTACTAAGTTCAGCAAAACAATGATTGCAGGTTTATAGCAAATAAATTCGTTTACTATGGAGTTTACTTTTTTATTGATGCGTGTTTTTATTAATGCAGAAACTTCTGGAATTTATTACAGTTATGTTTTCAAAACCTTTATCTCCAAATTAATATGGAACTAACTATCCCTGAAGTAGCTAAGCCTATTAATTAAAAGACTAATTAAAATAAATAAAATTATAAATAAAGATGTATGGGACACTACGAGTACTTCTTTGCCCCAATTGTGGCGAGTCAAAGCTCTTAAAACCCAAGCGAAGCACTTCCATAACTAGCATAGCAGCTGAATCCCTGTAATAAGAAAACTGTAATACATTACACGCACTATGCGCGTCCCTTATTTCCGCGCCGCAGTCTTTAGGCACGAACGGCAGGCACTTGCGGTGAGCGTTGTAGTGACAGTCTCCGCACTGCATGCCCTGCTTGAACAGTCCTCGCAGCAGCTTCTTGCAGAGGCGGCATACTGTCGGTCGGGTGTACGTGTGCACTTGGAAGGTGTGGGGTATGCCCAGAGATGAAGGCGGCGGCCAAGCTCCCGCAGAGCGTTTGCTGCTCCCGCCAACCTTGAATTATAAACGTGTTTAAAAATTATTAACTTAATGTACGTTATTCATTCGACCCTATAAGAATGCCCAGTGTAAGAATATCTACTACCCCATATCGTCCTGAGAGTGGCAGAAAATGTCTCCCCCCCGACCCTCTGAGGAAATCTATGGGGAAGGTCTATGCTCAGCAGTGGACTTTTGATGGGCTGTAAAGAAATGTAACGGTTATTTCTTTGTTTTTTTTTTAAATGTTGGTTTATATTCATACAAGGGTTTTTATCGTAGCAGGTTTTCAGTCAGTTAATTGCATTGGAGTAATACGTACGACGTACTAGAACAGTCACCGGGAATTAATTCGGTGCTGCAGTGCGGGGTGCGTGGTTGAAAGCACAGAGTACTTTTTTGTGGCACAGACTAAGTAACTCGTGGGCTCTAACGCGTGTTGCAAACAACTTAGTCTTGCCATCTTTTCCAGTATGTAGTACATATTAATTCAATGGTTAAGTAACGGCTAGCCCGTTGATTATAATCCACCCAAATTTTCAGTGGCATGATCACTATTCCAGTTGAACGCCCGCACTCGCAAAAGCTGGCGGCTACGCTGAGCGCTATTATATAATTATTATGTCTAACTCTCAGCACTCCTCAGCCGTTTAAATGATATGGAGCTACTACACTACTTTTTAGACAATGTTAATAAATAATTATTTTTATTTACAGTTCACAGATCGAGCTTTTACTCGATTACTCGTTTTTACACATAGTAGATCTACGCTGTTATATTATTGCTGCGCGCTCTCACAGAATACAAGCGAAAAATCGCAGCTCATTAATGCTTAGTTTCGTGAAGAGAACTGCAGACCCATTTTACTGGAAACAAGATATTCCATCTTAATCCTCAGGGGTGACAACGCAGATGTAAATGTCAATATTTTGGTATTTATCTTTTAGTAAAAGATTGTACAAAATCAATTGAGGTACAGTCGACTCTTAAAACATTTGAACATCAAATTGCAATATTACGTATAACATACCGATCTTTACTAAGCGTAAAATGATCGGATGTAAAATACCCAGCTCAGTGACGATTAAGGCGAATTCATCCTAAAACGAGAGAGGGCCATATTGATATTTCGATTCTTGAGAGATTCGTGCAGATTATGTTGTGACTGTATGTATGTAACATGTTGCACAAATTTTAGCATTATGGAGTTTGAAATTACGCTTTAAATACCGGGCCTTAAAGCTAGGTCTTTAAATGTAAAGGTTCTATGTGTTTTAATATTTTAGTATCCACGGATGTAAGTCGGCATATTTTTGGATCCTTGTGCAGCAACAGACGTTTATATGCCAGCATCTTAGGTTTTATATCTCTTTCATTGGTTAGGAGTCCGTCTGGTTACTCATTCGTTCTTAAAGCGGTAGAGTTGTCGCCTATGATCAGTGGACCCATCGGCCATCTGTGTGCTTTCGTATAAAAGTGCTCCTGTCTGTTTCTATCACTAAGTTGTAATACACCCACCATTGTATTCAAGTATAAAAAGTGAGACTGTATAATTATATGCAAGGAAATGAGACATTTCATCTTAGGCTGGAAGGTTTATTCTTTTGTCATTTATGTTATTAAAAAAAGCTCTAAAATGATGAGCTGCAGGTAGCGCTGGTAAAGGGACTGCTTGTTCAATTAGGAGGGGGCCATTACCTTCACAGACTTATCATTAGTTATATATTCACCAATCTCCCCAGAGGGTGAGTTAGGTTTTTAATGGCGATGTTGTTAGATTCGCCTTCATCTCCGCTGTTGGGTTTTTAATAAAAATTTTCCTGTTATATTTTTAATTACGCTAAAAAATTTTTCCTACAGTGTTTTCAATATTCGCCGTTAAACTGCTACAACGTGAATGAGATACCGCCATCTATCGGAAGTCGTAACACTTTCCTGAAATTTCTCATAGTCGTTTCTTACGACACCCATGGAATAAAATAGAGGTCTGGATACCTTTTCATCTGACTGATATTTTATATTAATGGAATTGTTTAAAGTGTTGATTTATCATGTGCTCGATGGTGAAAGGAAACACCGCGAGTTACATGTCTAAAAAACTATTATGACAATATGTATATATATTATACGTGGTAGAGCCATGCTACAGCTATATTAGTAGTATAGTTATAGCACGAATGGGTCGGCTCGACTGGGGAAGAACCACGCTCGCACAGAATACCAGCGTGAAACGAGGCATTATATCTTAGTCCTCACCGGTGACAGCGCATCTACATTTTTATTTGTAGTCGAGAATAAAGTCTATGGGCCACAGCCACTTACCATCAGGTGGACTGTGCTCGTTCTTCACCATTCTATAAAATAGAAAATATGTGGATTCCATTAACATATAGCACCAACGCGGTGATTTCGTCTGTTTAAGTTTGATTTTTTACTCAATAAACTCTTATGGAAATCTGAAGAGGCTTGTGTCCAGCGGAGGTACTTAATAGATCTATACTTTACTTTTTTTTATACACTAAACTCAATGGTCTCTATAGTATTGTAGCGCTGTAACATTGTAGCTTATATAAGAAATCATTAGATCTCTATTAATTAAAAAAACCCGATTGCGTAAAAAAGTTTACCGAAAAGAGAAAAAAATGATGTCCTGTAACCACTTTTACCATTAAGACGAGGCTTACGACGCCTAATATGTTAATATCCATCAAGTCGTTTACACCCAAAAACCATTATCCTCATTCTGGTGCAGTCAGTTAAAAATTGGATCAAACTATGTTTGTAGAAGTTTTGTTTACAACTGAAGCATTCTATTTGAAACTGGATGATGGGTATCACGGAAATTTAAATAAAACTCAAGAAATCAGTTAAGTACATTTATTGATTTAAATAAAAGTTACAAAAACATTACATTCAGTGCTACCCACCACCCTTTGTTAGTTTATAGTGGTCTTAAACAAAATAATAAAAAGACGGATTTAAAAAATACAATGTTTGTACCAAAATTAATCTCATAATTTAACTAATATGGACGGAAGTAATTTATCAAGAATGTTAACATTACTTAAAAATTAATAAAAAAATGGACGGAATTAAAAATAAACTTAATTTAATCAGCATTTATGTATACTAGGTCTTATTTGTTCTTGATAAATGCTTTTGTTTTTTTCTCAAATATACGGCTTTACTTATAATCGTTTACTGTCGCTTATTAGACCGAATTATACATTATCTATATTTCTGTCTCTTTCTGTTGTCATTTAGTGAGAAAAAGTGAGGAGAGGAGGGGGGGACTTTAAGCATTTCTTAAGTTGATGTTGAATTTTATGAGTAAGGCCGTAAATATTTAAACAACTTAACTAATAAGTTTTTATTATTATTATAAACATATTATATTACATAAATAAATAGCCGTGAGATGACGACGTTAGAAGTATCACCCTCTTACGTATTTTTAAAAGAAATGATCATGATGGTATTTTCCCACAGCTATAAAATATTGTTCTCATATATTGTATAAGTGATTATATTATGGTAATCTCTTCTGTAATGTGTGCAGTTAGGTAATTATTATATCGGGCACTTAACCTAACCTAACCATAATATTTCTGAATTAAGTTTTCAAAAGTAAAAGTAAACGTTAGAATTTTATAAATTTCATATAAAGAAAAAAATAAGTAATATAAGTATTAGAATATTACGATAATAGCAAATTAATTTGTTATTGTATTTCTTATATTGTGTAAGTCAACCAATTTTGTTTTTAACATATATTGGACAGACGAAAAAATGTTGCTCTCTACTATAGATTTAAAAAAAATCTGCAAAATTTGAACGTTATATAGACGTCAAGTCAGAAGTTACATGGTCATACACCAAACGCAACAAAAATTTTTATTAAGATATTTGATAATTTTGAAATTATATATATTGCGGCACAGCCCCATACTAGACATGTGTCAATCAAGAATGATTCGTTCGTTTGAGCTGGTACACTTAAAAGTATTGATAGTTCATTCATCTGTTGTCATTGAATTTTTCGGTACCAATCACAAACAATTGACGGAACCTTTTTAACTCGTGATTGGTGTGAATTGTGAATGAGTCGAAAACCGACCGAACCCCGAATGAATTGTTTTTAGTGCAGGGCATAGGGTACACAATACAATGCAAGCATTCGAATTCATATTAATTTTCATACTGATTCATATTAGTTTTTTTTGTGTTCATGCCATCTAGCGTCTATTGTATTTGGGCCTTTCTCTACTAACAGGAAAATCATGGTCCAAGCATGTTTTTTTTATTTTGGCTATATTAATGCATAGTTCTATTTATCAAAACACATAATATATAACCTGTTATTTAAGGAGCCAAGCTGAATCAATATTTAGAATCATAATCATTTCATAAATTCGGTCTAAAAGCCACTAAAAACAGTCCTCTGTTATGTCCTAATTCTGGATCGAGTATGATTCGGTTCGGTTTTTATTAGTTGTATTTAAAAATGTGAAATCTTATTACTCTATGAACATAAAGAATATTGAATGCATGTGAACAAAAAACAATTATAATTTTAGAGAATTTTTTTTGTACTAAAAACTAGTGTTTGAATTTTGTCCGATACATTTTTGAACAGTCCTCTGTCACAATTTGAATATCGCGCCACAAAAATATTAAACACTATTGTGGCTACATTTCGCGTCAAACGGAACATTAACAGTGTGAAGTTTGCTCGGTTGCCATCCTAAACAAGTCGCCGCCATTTTTCCCAGTGACAACTCCGCGTCTGTGTGGGAGCCACGTCTCTGTAGTGTTGAGTGAACATTCCTCTGGTAAGTCTATTTTACGGTATTTTATGTGTTTTAATTATATTTATTTTACAAAAAAAAAATTGCTCAGTGTGATAATTTATAGCTGTTTCTGTGTTATGAATTAATATTTAAACTTATACGTGGTATGACATTTTTTACGTAAAAATAACAGTCCTCTGTGCAACAGTCCTCTGGAAATTTATAACACAGAGGACTGTTCAATGTGACAGAGGACTGTTTTATTTGACGTCCGTGTATTTTATTAATATTCTTTATAGTCTGCACTAACCTACTGCTTGCCGATAGCCTCTTTCTTTCTTACATTGGCCTGTCACGCTAATTCAGGTCTTTTGTTTTCTATTATGGATTTTGGAATATAAAATAATACGTACCTAGTAACTACCTGTTTTTAAACCCTTACGGTTTTTTTTTTTAATATTGAAAGTATGTTTTATTGTTTTAGTATTGCCGCAATGCCACCAAAGAAGAAACCTAAAACCAAAGAAGAAATAAAAGAGCAGAAACGAATTGCAGAAAGATTAAGATATCAACGGCTAAAGAATGACCCTGTAAAAAGAGAGCAATTGAAGGAAAAAGAACGACGAAACTACCAAAGAAAGAAGGAAAAAGGCATAAGAAAGTCAGTTAAATATATGAGTCGACGTGAACACAAAGCTGTGACTAAAGAATGGAGAAAGCACTGTGCTACATATCGCGCAAAAAAAAGCTTTAAAAGAAATTACAAACAATTTTGTACGACATAATACGCCTGAATCCGAGGGTTCACCTTCTCCTCAAAGTTCTGTCGCTCCATCAATACTACCTATGACCACTCCACGAAGTGATGCAAGTAATGCGAGAAAGCGTAATGCTAGAAAGAAACGTGACAAAATTATAAAGGATAAAGACAAAAAGATCGAGTATTACAGAAAAAAATCTGAGAAGTATAGGAAGAGATTAGAACGTTTGGAAAAAGCTAAGACAAAGAAAAATGTAGACACACCTAACACTAAACTGACCGAAATGTGTGATTCGCCAGGAGCTCGCAGAGAAGTAGTCAAAAAAGGCGCTATTCGGTGAAGTGTTGAATGCCCAGCTGAAAGAGAACTACGCTAATTTAAAAACCTGCAAAGAGAAACAAATATTCGGAAAAGTCGTGTCCGGTAAACTAATACACAAGTACAAGTTATGGCGAAGCAAAGATAGTTCCATATCTTATAAAACAATTCAGAAGTCAGCGCGTCAATCGGGTTTAGTACCCAAGCTTCGGACTCGCAAAGACAAAATTTCATCTGATTGCATAAACACTGTACGAACCTTCTACGAAAATGATGACAACAGCAGACTTGGCGCAGGAAAACGAGAATGCTTGACCAGAAAAGGGGTTAAAAAACAGAAAAGATATCTATCGGATAGCATTGGAAATTTATACAAAAAGTTTCAAGCTGAACATTTTAAAATAAGCTACCCAACGTTTTGTCGTCTACGTCCTTTCTGGGTCATAACACCAAATGTAAACGAACGTAACACGTGCCTCTGCATTAAGCACGCGAACATCGATCTGAAACTGTCAGCATTGCACAGAAGAAGAATTTTGACTTACAATAGTCACACTGCACTGCTTGAAAAGACATGTTGTAATCGCTATGACGTCACGAACCTGTCAACGCTGTATTGACAAAAATCCTGACTACAGGGAGTTTGATGACAGCAAGCCTATTGAATTTAAACAATGGATATCTGAGAAACAAACTTACAACGACCCCAAGACCAAGAATGCTCGAACAGTTACCAAATACCTAAAGAAAATGTTCACGGTTCGCCCTCGAGAACTAATAGAAGAGCTGCACGAGGATTTGGAAGCCTATTATCAACACGAGAGAAACATTACCCATCAATACAATGCTATCAAGAAATACAAACAAAACCTTACCGACGAAGACGCTATCATACATATGGATTTTTCAGAAAATTATTGTTCCAAATACGGTGAAGAAATACAAGCATTTCATTTTGGAGGGTCGAGACTTCAGCTAAGTCTTCATACTGCGGTAGTGTATACCAAAAAGTCTATCAAGTCTTATTGTACCGTTTCCAAAAATCTCACACATTCACCAGTTGCTATATGGGCACATTTGCGGCCAATCTTTAAAACTCTCTCACCTAACATAAAGAGCATCCACTTCGTCAGCGATGGACCCGTAACTCAATACAGAAACAAAACGATGTTTTACATCCTGGCATCAAGGCTTCAACAAGAGGTTTCAAATGTGAAGAAGTTTACCTGGAACTATTCAGAGAATGGCCATGGCAAAGGGGCCCCTGATGGCATTGGAGCGACCTGCAAGAGAACCGCTGATGCCGTCGTCGCTACAGGAGGTGATATTGATAACTTGGAATCATTTGTAGAGGCCATTCAACGAAGATGTTCCGCAATTACCTTGTTCACAATCGACGATAAAGCCATCCAAGAATTGACAGACGGCCTTCAAAATGAAACAGTTAATTTAAAAAGCTTTAATGGCACTCTTAAAATACATCAAGTTAAGGCTGAAATATTAAGAAGTCCTCTGGAATCAGCTCCAAAGGCCGCTAAACTCATAATGAAAAGTTTAAGTTGCACTTGTGAAGACGAGTGCCAGCATTTCAATTTAGGAGTGTTAGAGTACAAAAACAAGACAAAACTTAACGTAGATGATATTTACACAGACTCTGAAAGTGAAAACATGGACAACTCACAGAATTCCACAATGGAAACCGAAGACGACGGTGCACTGGCTGGACCTAGTTCAATCAACCAACAGAATTACACCATCGGTGATTACGTCTTGGTTAAATTTCTAGTAAGAAATACTGAATATTGTTATGCTGCAGTAATCAATAAGATAGACACGGAAGAAGGCGAACTAACAGTAACCTTCTCAAAAATTTGTGATGACAAAGGACACACATTCAGAGTCGATGAAAATGATGTTTCTAATGTGCCCTTTGACCAAGTAATAAAGAAGTTGCCAAACCCAGATGTTGCCCTAAAAGGGAAACGAATATTTTATTATTTTAATATACCTGTACCTGTTTTTGAGAAATAAGTCTGCATTGATAAGTAAACAAGACTGATTCTTAGTACCTAAGCTTAATTTTGATTATAATTATTTTAATTTGTTACTTAGAGAGCTAAGCTCGCAATTTGTTCCTGATTTATCATCAATACTTATAAGTATTTAAATTCTGTATGTGATTTAGTATTAAATAAAGAAGAGAATTTATTTGATTACATTTAATAATTAATATTGTATTTTTCTTCATATAAACATTGACATAAACTGTTCTCTGGGTGGAAAAAACAGTCCTCTGGGTGGCAAAACAGTCCTCTGTCGCATTTTTTTACAAAATTGCCTATAATTCGAAAAATAAGGGAAAATTACAATGGTTTCTTGTTTATATGTACTTATATTATAACTATCTATCGACTTAACATATAATATTTTTAATTTTCTAGAAAAATAGGGTTGGGACAACTGTCAATAGACAAGTTTCCTGTTAGTAGAGAAAGGCCCATTTAACACCTTGAAAGTCAATAAATTTTTTAAATTTTGTTCGATGACTTTTTCTTTGTGAAATGACTTTATTACCTATAGCATGTAGTAGATGGTGCTGTTACAAAGTAAAACAGAAAATTTTCGGTTCCCAATGGATCTCACAGACTTACAGAGTACAGCAACCCGAAATGATCCATTTGAATGATCGATTCGAATGTACCGGTACGAAACGCGTGACGAAATGTACTAGAACGATTCGGTCACGCGAAATTAATGATTAACACATGTCTACCCCATACCGTTCCTTTTACCTGACTTTCCTTTTACCTACACCAATTATAAAAATATTTCTTTTACCGCATACTACTAATTCGGCTTAATCCTAATGAAATTTTTTACATATTTCACATTTTTTTTTTAAAATTAAATAATTAGTGGCTAACACATAAAAATATCTAAATATTTAGATATTTAATATCTTGTGCGAAAACAACAGACGCTGTTCTAGACAAAAACGCATACGCGACGCGTTATGAAGCCACGATTTTATTTTAATGGAATATATTTTCTGTTTGAGCTCTTATTACAGGCTCATTGTCTAAGTCAACCTATGTTATAAATATAGTTTCGTCTACTATTACATATATTTTTATCAGAAATAGTATTCGGATCCATAATACAGTGGGATACTACAAACTCGTAGATCTAATTCAATTAGCAAAAATACCACTCCATACTATGATTTGCTTAAAGTTTAGTAAATTTGTGAAATCTGACAACACCTTCAGCGACGGTATCTATGAACGGGTGGCGGTATTGTTACTTAACGGCTGCCTGCGTCGCATGTATTTTCATGCAAGTTTTTCGTTTAATTGAATTTTTTGGGGTAATTTTTATAATAACTCTCTGAATATACATAGCACGATACCTAAAACACTTACGGATCTTACAGAGTTTTTTTTACATAATGTATAGAAATATTGGCAGCAGGCAGACACTTGCTGCCCCCAACACTTTCGCAGTGCTATCACAATGTCTCGAGACCACTTCCGAGTCGACGTCCTCTTCGGGGGCTACGACGCGACGTCTCTAGTAAGTAATAGGTTGACAAGCCTAGTTGTTGCCCGTGACGAGGTCCGCGAGACGCCTTACCAGCGAGTCGTCGCGCGAGGCGTGGCTGTGCGCGGAGCTGCGGGACGGGCTGCGAGGAGCGCCGGAAGCTCGTCGGCCCGGAGCCAGGGCATTCGAAGTCGTGCTGACCGGCGACTCGCAGTTCGACGGCACCTTAACAGCGCACCGCTTGTGGTAGTTTAGGCCGCAACCTGAGGATTACGACTGGGTTAACTCGTAGATAGGAAATGGCTGACGGCACCGTCACGGCACAGCGATTGTAGTAGTTTAGGCTACAATATAAGGATTAGGAGTGGACTACACTAGGTAAAGCTGGAAACTTGTTCCAACTGGAAATAACAGGTCCAGTAACCTGTTCCAAAATAACAAACTGTTACCTAGTTGTTACTAAGTTTAGATAGGAACTGTGAACTGAAAATCTGTTTGTTATACAAAAAAGTAAAAAAAACATTGTCCCGTGATGCGATCTCGCCTCTTGTCGGCGATCTTCCAGAAAACATTCAATATTATATGGCAATGTCCTCCGCATTAAGCCTTATTTCTTCAAGGACAGTTCGCTCACAGGTGAATTGTGTGCTGGTTTATCATCTTTATTCTAAAAATCCACTTTAGACCTTAGAGACTACAGTCATAGTAAAAACAAAATAGTGGGCTATCTTCTAAGAAATGTACCGAACGCCGCTAATATGTGTGCGTGCCTGGCACGTGACAGTACGGACCAGGTCCGGTCAACTCTGTATGGACAGAATGAAATACCTACGGGGGCTGAATTTTATTATTGCCATTTGTCAGATAAATGTCTTGTTTCATAATTAGTAAGATTTTGCTAAAGATAAATTACACTCAAAAAATGTTGAATACAGAAATAATAATCAATAGGAAGATAACTGTGCCTGTCGTATTTTTCTACATTATTATATTAGAATATCCTTGACAGTAAAAGAAAAATAAATGTTTTCTTTTTGTTTTGATTTTCAATGAGTAGAAAATTATATTTTTTACTGGTAACACCAAATACCTAAATGAGTATAGAGTATATATTTCTCTTTTCTCATAATATGGCGTCGCCGTATAAATTATTGTTGTTCATGATTGGTTGTTATGTTTGTTTTGCTTGTGTCTTTTACTAAGATTTTGCAAGTTTACGATGTTGAGTTGAGATTAATGTCCTTCATTTATATGATGTGCAATGTGTTAGTCAATGAATCGTAGTGAAATACGAAATAGTGACTCTTAAAAACTACGCTGCAATGGCGGATAAAGAAAATAGAAAAAGTGTTCTAAGTGCAACAGCTTACCAACCATTGACTACATTAAATTATTTAGGTTTCCGAAACCCGCAGTATAGTATATTTTGCGGTACGTATACAATATACATATACACTATTTAATAAGTTCTAACCTTAAAGTAAATCTCTTGTACAACTTATTGTTTCTCGTTAACCATTTAAAAACAAATTATGGGTTTGTAAACCATTGGACCTACTTTGATAATATTTGTATTTAATAATTATATCTTTTGTTTTCAGCTGTAAATTGTGGGCGAAATATTATATTCCTTCCCAAGAGCAGTATACTACTTCAGCTTTCCAGACAAAGCTACATAATAAGCCCAGAATGCTGTGTGAAAAACATTTTCATTTGGTTAATTTAATGATGCAACCAAGAAAAAGCTCTTAAGCACTGCAGTCCCATGTTATGTAAATAAAGTGTATAATGTATATGGTAATATGGTATGTATATAGTTTTCTTTAAGGATTACTCAGATATTTTATATGGGGATTACTATATTCAGGAGTGGACTTTGATAGACTGTAAAGAAGATGATGATTATTCATATGACCATCATCTGGATCTAACATGGATGGACAGACCACATACAGTAGTTTGAATCCTGTTAATTCTTTCAAATAATTTATAATAATTGGATCGGACAAAGCATCCAAAGGATTGAAGTCTATAAAGTTAGCACAAGCCTTTCCTTACATTATTAAAAGTGCAACACACTGCATATTATTTTTAACAATCAAATTTTATTTTAAAACAACAAAAAACCTTAAGAAAGTTCCGGCATCACAATATATGAATTACATTTGGTCCTAAACCTATCAAATGTAAAGGCACAACTTGTACAATGCAGTAGAAATACATGCATCAAATGGTTCTCAAACAATAGATAAACACAAGATTTCTTTTCATATAGTTATTGTATTTACTATCTTATTTTGTTATATTAATTGTAATAGTGGGTGTATTATAGAGCAAGTTGGATGAACAAGATCCATTCATTTATTTTGTATTGGTAGAAGGGTAATGTAGTGCCATGAGTAAGGACTGGTTTACTATGAAAGTAATGTCAATGAATATAATGTTAATTTAATTTTATATAATAATTTTATGATACTATAATTTATTTCAGTTTTTATTTATTTCCAGACTAACAAAGTGTATTCCCATTTTATTTTGTAGAATTACAAGCTGGTCCCTTGCAAATTATTGCTGCAAAACCACAAGCAGGATCTTCAAAAAGGACAACATTATATCCACTGAAGAACAACCACAAACATGAAAGCATAACACATAATGTTGAACCTGAAAAAGAAAGTATGTATCTCTATATGAAATTTTTTAAAATGAAATAAGGAATATTTTTATAATCTAATATTTAATATGTTTTATAATTTTGAATTAAAATTATTCTATTTATAAGCTGCATTCAATACTTAATATATTGCATATAATATAGAGACAAAATTTTTAGTGTCAATTCAGGGAAATAGATAGACAACCAAATATTATCAAAACACAATTATTATTTGTGAATGTTGCACTTTGCACTTGTGTGTAGGAGCTTATTTATTAATTAACTTGTTTTAGATTAAAATATTGATATTTTGGTTATTGTAGACAATCATTGTGCATATTATCAATTCATCCATGATTGTAAATCTTATTTCAATTCTTTATCATTGTTTACTTAAGTAATTGAAATGTTGTAATCATTATTGATTTTCTTTTCATGTTTAAACCCATCAAATGTCTTTATAGAAAGAACTAAGCTGCTGGAGAAATTGTTTCTTAAGTTATGTATGTTTTTTATTTCAATTTGTATTTTTATTTTGAATAAATAAATAGAAATTTTGTAATTTTTGTTCTTTTATTTAGCGCTGGGATAGGAAACCCAAAAATACCTCAAATAAAAAAAAAAAAACAAAAAAGACCACATTCAAATTTTCCCGCCACACGAGAAGTGCAGGAGGCTGACGATAGATGGCGCTAGTATATATATCTCATTTCTTAAATTTTGTATGAAGTTGTCGTTCTTCTCCGATAAGAGTAATAGTGTTCTGTGGTACGGACTCGTACGCACGAGCCACAGCACGCACACAACGACACTTGCTAAGTAGGGAAGATCGGGCCGAGTCGTGAACGCCCACCGCCGCGCTCAGTAATCACTTTTGTTTGAGATTTTGTTGAATTTAAATAAAATTTTGCTAACAGTCTTTTTATTTTCTCTTTTTGTAAAATAAATAAATATATGCGTTTGTTTAAGTAAATTAGCTTTTTATTAATAGTTTATATTGCTAATCTTTAAATAGAAGTATATAAGTACATTAATTGTCATATCACATCTGATCAAATTAATTTTAAACATTAATTCTGAGCAGACACCATATGATCTATGTTAGTTTACTCGTATTTAAGTTATTTGTCATTTGTTGTATTGTAAAGCTGGTTAGTTTTTGACAAATTCGTTGAGACGAATCTAAAGAAATTACATATTGTTACGCGCTCAAGTCGACGATACACTAGCGCCATCTAGTGTCAGGAACGAGAGCGAGGGGAGCATTGAGAAAATGACATCACAAATCACTCAACCGACAGCGCCTAGTCGAAACTCGAACGCTCGGTACCTTGCGCGTGTTTACTTGAACATTCTGGATATTTCTTTGCTAATTTAAATAAATAGGCGCTGCAAGATGCGATCGAAGTAGTGTTGATTTGGCGAAACAAGCGAAGCTTCGGAGCGGAATAAAGTGAATTAGTGTGTTTAATTATTAGTGTTTTTAACTTTAATTTGTGTAAAGTAAATTAAAGTGTTAATTTAGGTAATTTTATCGGCAATTTTTATTGTCACGAACCCTAAGCTCGTAGCAATTGGTGTCAGAAGTGGGATAAAATCATGCCGATTTTATCTAAGGAGGAAACGGAGGGTGTCCGTACCCGAAGTCAACGCCAGCAGGAGACGGACCAACGAAGATTTGGTGGTGCAACGCCGCAGACGTCGGAGGGCCAGCCACCGGCTGCAGGCCCGTCGGTAGCTCCTACATCTGCAGCACCTGACTTAGGTGCTCTGATGGTGATGCTGCAGGAGCAGGCTCGCCGACAGGAGAAACAGGCTCGCCGACAGGAGGAACAGGTCCATCAGTTGAAAGAGCAGCTGCAGAGCGGACAAGAGGAACAGGCCCGCCGATTGGAAGAGCAGCTGCGGGGCGGACAAGAGGAGCAGGCCCGCCGACAGGAGGAACAGGCCCGTCGGTCGGAAGAGCAGATGCTCCTCATTAAGGACCTTCATGCTACCTTTGGGAAAGAGATAAAGGAGGTGAAGGATAGGGTTGCTCAACATGACAACCGCCTGTCGGAAGCTGAAACCCAAATCAAGGAAGCTAAAACCCAAATCGACCAAGTGAACTATCGGGTTGATTACGTGGTGGCTGACGTGAAGAAAACGCTGGACGACCTCAAACTGGGTGATGGAACTACAGCTCCCATAGTAGCTACTACACCTTCGCTACGTGGGTTCAAAGTGCCACCGTTCGACGGGACTTCTTCCTGGTCAGCCTACAAAATCCAGTTCGAGGCTGTTATGAAGGCGAACGGCTGGAATAAAAATCAGGCCATGACTGCTCTCACACTAGGCCTGCGTGACCAGGCCTTAACAGTTCTGGAAGCTCTCGGTGAGGAAGTGACTTATGAGCAACTCCTTGAAGCATTGGAGGCGAGATATGGCGACGCTCACCTGGAACACGTCTTTCGTGCGCAGCTTAAAGATCGTGTGCAGCGCATCAACGAAAACCTGCAGCAGTGGGCTCTAGAAGTGCAGAAGCTGGTGCGAAAAGCATACCGGTCTGTACCTGCGCTCATTGAAGGGAACCTGCTGCAGACATTCATCGACGGCATCCGCGACCTGGAAGTCAGAGCTGCTGTGAGGCTCGGGCACCACGAGACGCTTAAGGACGCCTTGGCCCATGCACAGGCAGTGGAAGCCGTGCGGCAGGATCATCGTTCCCATCGCGTCAGGGAGGTTGCAGCAGCTACAGTTCGCGACCGCAACAAAGGATACAGCCCAAGGTGCTATGGCTGTGGGGAAAAGGGCCATCTTCGAATCAGCTGCCCTAAGCGAACCGTGGAAAGGAGAGTTGATCGATCTCGAGAGGGTAGTGCAGCTAACGACACTGCCTGGCGGCGACAGGATCATCGTTCACCTCACGCTAGGGAGGTTACAGCAGTTACGGTTCGCGACCACAATAAAAGATACAGCCCTAGGTGCTATGGCTGTGGGGAAAGGGGCCATATTCGGTCCAGCTGCCCTGAGCACACCCTAGGAAGGGAAGGTGAACGGTCTCAGAAAGGAAGTGCGGCTAACAGCACCGCCCAGCAGCAGCAGGAATACGACTTTACTATCAGACACTGCAGCGGGAAATCTCACGGCAACGCAGATGCATTGTCAAGAAGACCTTGTCCTGAAGATTGCAACCATTGTAGTAGGCAAGAGAGTAAGGAGGTGGTATCCGTGAGGACGCTCAGGACAGATCAACTCAGCAACGGGTGGAAGGACAGCCTACGACATGCACAGCAGGAAGATCCGGACATCAAGCCGATTCTGGGATGGATGAAGGCCCGTGCTACCAAGCCTAAGTGGAGGGACGTCTCAGCGATGAGTTCAACCACGAAAAGCTATTGGGCCCAATGGGACAGCTTGCTAATTCAGGATGAAGTCCTGTGCCGTAAATGGGACAATGGTCGAAGAGACAGCTGTCGTTTGCAAATGGTTGTCCCTAAAGCTAAAGTGCCGAATGTTCTACAGCTGTGCCATAATGGTCGTTCAAGAGTCCATCTGGGAGTTAAACGAACTCTACTGAAGGTCCGAGAACAGTTTTACTGGGTCCATTATCGTGACGATGTCGAGGATTGGTGTCGTACATGTACAAGTTATGCGGCCGTGCGGGGACCTCAGACACGTAGTAGAGGAGCACCGAAATTGTACAATGTTGGTGCACCACGGGATAGGACAGCCCTTGACATTGCGGAGCCGTTACAGAAAGGCGCAAGAGGGACTCCTAAGATCGTCCATGTGAATCGCTTGGCGCGTTATTATGGGGCCGATAATGCTCGGGACGAGCATGTCTTAGGAGGGGGCAGTGTTACGCGCTCAAGTCGACGATACACTAGCGCCATCTAGTGTCAGGAACGAGAGCGAGGGGAGCATTGAGAAAATGACATCACAAATCACTCAACCGACAGCGCCTAGTCGAAACTCGAACGCTCGATACCTTGCGCGTGTTTACTTGAACATTCTGGATATTTCTTTGCTAATTTAAATAAATAGGCGCTGCAAGATGCGATCGAAGTAGTGTTGATTTGGCGAAACAAGCGAAGCTTCGGAGCGGAATAAAGTGAATTAGTGTGTTTAATTATTAGTGTTTTTAACTTTAATTTGTGTAAAGTAAATTAAAGTGTTAATTTAGGTAATTTTATCGGCAATTTTTATTGTCACGAACCTCAAGCTCGTAACAATATTAACAAATATGATGCATAGGTACGTATCCGTATATATTATGTTCGTAAATATTATAACTATGTTCTTATAAAACTAAATGAGACATAGCTGTTAAACAAAAATACAGTGACAACCTTGCAACAGCAGGCATTTAAATCTCGCGCGGCGCGGGACCATCCTACTATTCTGTTTTTACTATGCTACAGTGTCTCTGTGACCTTATTAATTCTAAATTGGTCACAGGTGCAATGCAATCAGGTATTGTGTTAGTTCGTTTAACACTCAAATATTTAAAACTTAGGGGATCCTACGTCCAATGGACTACACAACCTTGTGGCAACAATATCTGTAGTCAGTATAAACAACTTACCTTCGCATTTAAGTCCTTGCCGAACAAGCCCGAAAAGCATCTCTCCACAGAAATCGCAAAATGTGGGCGCCTTGTAAGAATGTACGGCGAGCGCGTGTGGCCGAGGCACCGGCGCACCTTCCGTGCCCTCGCATAGTAGAGCTGCAACAATTTTTCACACAATAAACAACACATTTATATATATTATTATAGATGGGTCGACTCGATCGAAGGACTACGCCTGCATTTTGATTTTTAATCTAGGGTAGATGTAGATGTCAATGGGCTACAAAATCCGCTTACCAACAGGTGGCTTGTGTTCTCATTTATCACCATTTATTGTATAAACAATATGTAACACTACTTATTAATCTTGCCAACGGATTTTTTGTTTGTCAAATTAAGCACGTGGCTCACCTGATGGTAACTAGCGCCGCCCATGATCATCCGCAATACCAGAGGAGCCTTTTGAAAATAGATAGTGATGGTAGATTCCTTGAAGTAGTCGTGCGAGCAAAAAAATCTGAAAAACCCCGTGGTTGACCACTCAGTGTTTTACAGAGGTATGGTTGTACATTCATTTGAAAATGTCGAATTCAAATCCAACAGCCTATGACGGATATTTTTGTCGTAAGACATAAGGCGTCGAAAAATCCAGTAGTCACCCATTCTGGTATAAATGCGTGATGCGAGACAATTATATTCTTAATTGAAAGTATGGATAGGAAAATGCCAATTTACAACAAAATTATTAAGTATAAGCATTAATTTTGCCATAGTAATTCTTGTTGCGTTTGACAACCTGACCGTGTTTTTTTTTTGATAACGTAATGATCTGCTTTTTATATTTTTCTTATGTTAAATTAATAACTACTAAATTAGGAGTACCCTTAACCGACGAGCATGTATGCGTAGGTATATGGATGTGAAGGAGGCGAGAAAGGTGTCAGGATCGTGCCAAATGGAAGTCTGTAGTCTCTGCCTACCCCTCTGGGTGACAGGCGTGAGTATTTATGTATGTATGTATGTTAAATTATTGCTTGTGTAAATGTGAAACATTGAATTTCTCTTGTATTGTAGAGGCGTTAACCATACATTATCAAATTGCACATGAACAAACAGCCAGATCCCGATCAATTATTTGTATGGCCTACAAATAATTGTTCCATGCGAGATTCGAACCCGCCGCTCGCAGCTACGCAGTACAACCTTACTCATTGCGTTAACGAGCCATTGAAATCTGTAACTCTTGACGATTAAGGGGAAATATAACAATACACTCACACACCATTTTGGAACCGGGCGACAGGAAACAAGCTTCAGGACGCTGATAGCTTAGGTAATTTATTTTTACAGTGAAAATAATGGTAATTAAAAATAAAATAAAAAACATAAGCCCTGCTTTATAGTTAGTTCAGTGAGAATGCAAAGTTTCATGATATTATTTAAAGTATTTTATGAATAACAGCGGTTTATTGTTCAGTTTGGAGGTAACTTTGGAATTTTTTTCTATCGAGAAAATTTTATGTATGAATCATGTTTTCGTCTAACATAGTACTTAACATTAATCCTCAACTTTGCCATATATTTATTTCAAAATTAATGCTGCAATATTTTCGGTATAACGGATGATCTTGCTAAGCCATTTGAGGTTATATTACCCCTTAATAATCAGCAATATGAGCATGAGTTTACCGAATCGAATTCGTATCGTCATCGAGTAAATTTGAATGATAAAACATAGTTCTATTTACTTCCGCCAGGGTCGCTGTTCATATTTCTAAATAACTTTAGTCGATGACGATACGTCAAAAACGTTCATTTTATTTTACCACGTTTTTATTAAATTGGTTTCCTGTATCTTCTCTGTTCGGGTCTTTTAAATTTCCGGATGAGATACTTGAAATTTTGATCATAGCTCAAAAACGGATGACAATGTAAGAATATGGTAAAAGTTTTTTTGAACGGGCACACGGTAAGTGGATGGTGTGGCCCATAGACATCCACATTTATCCTTAATTAAGAATCAAAATGCAAATGCGTTGTCACGCCTGAGGACTAAGACGGAATGCCTTGATTCTAGTAAAAAGGGTTTCCGGTTGACTACAATTACTATAAGAAACACAGCAACATTACGCTACTATTTTACGCTGGTATTGACAAAATGTTGTTAATCAAGTTATTATAACAGATAACGCGTTTACAGCGCGTTCGTGTGACCTCCTACACTTTATATCCACTTAACAAATAAACGATGGTCAACTCACCGTTTGCTGTGAGTACAATTTCAACGAGGGTCTCGTCTGTGATGTCGGAAGCGGAGTTGACGAGCTGCAGTACATTGGGCGAGCAGTAGTCGTGGCGGAACAGCAGGATGCGCTCTGACAGCCGGTTCAGTCCGTTGTCGGGGATCTGTTGGTTGCACAACAAATATAATTTTAGTGAAGACTGTGTGGATTATGAGTAGGGTTGCCAGCTCTTTTATTTCAAATTAAGTCTTTTCGGAGCTTTTCTTTGTAACACAGGTTTAACACGCTGCCCACTAAACCACCTGAGATTGATTTTTTCTACAGGATAGGGTGATAAACGAGCACACAGTCCACCTGATGGTAAGTGGTTGCTGTGGCCCATAAACATAGACATCTACATCTATCCTCCGTTGTCACCCGTGAGGACAAAGATAGAATGTCTCGTATACAGTAAAAAGGATTTACGGTTCTCTACACTCACCGTACGAAACACAGCAGCATTAAGCTTCTATTTTACGCTGGTATTCCATGAGAGAGTGGACCTTCCCCGACGACCGTCGAGCCGATTCGTGCCACAGCTATACCACTAATATAACTGCACAATGTTTCTACCACGTATAAAAACTATAATATAGTTTTTATACGTGGTAGAAACATATTATGTAGCTGTTACTGCTACAGATAGCTGTTGCTACCCTCGCACTAGGTTATGCAATTCCCATCACCAGTTTGTAAAGTTTGATATGTCACCACTTTGACCATCGAAGGAAAGTGGGAGATACCTTGGCGAACAAGCCCGGATGGCGGCCAATGCACCGCGCGCGCGCGCGTGCGTTTGTGTGTGTGCGCATGTGTGTGTGTGTGTGTGCGCATGTGCGCATGTGTGTGTGTGTGTGTGTGTGTGTGTGTGTGTGTGTGTGTGTGTGTGTGTGTTTAACTACTTGCTAACAGCGTGGTCAGAAAAATGTCGTATTAGGTTGCCCTTTAAAATAACGTCCCACGTTTTCAAATCATCACCGGATAAGAAAGCTTTTCGAAACAGATTCAAATTTGCTGCTTAGGGGTAAAGCGCCCGATAGTTCTGTTTGATTAATAAAATATTTTTAATAAGAAACGTTATTAGAAATATGTCGTAAAGTAGTTCTGCATACACAAAAAGAAAAATTATTTGTAGACTGACACTTGCCGAGTGCGGGAATCGATTAAGAAATTTATAAATTAAGCGTCATAAGACTTAAATTTAAAATTGTTTTCTCGGATTTATAAGAAAATAATCCAAATAAATGCATTTACGAGTATAAGTTACCTTTATTTCCCGCATTGAGTGCAGGGCCCCATTTACTCTATTTCCGCAATGCGGGGCCCTGCACTCTATTGTGAAGAGTCAAAATGTGTCAAAAAAGGCACGTATGGCAATTCACAATGCTGTGTTGGTCCCTACTTTAACGTATGGTAGCGAAAGTTGGGTGTGGCAGAAGAAGCACGAGAGTAGAATCAACGCAGTAGAAATGTTAAGGAGTATGTTAGGGCTGAATCTGAACGGCAGGGTAAGAAATTGTGTAATAAGAGAAGAGTGTGGTTTGCAAGATTATGTGACCAGGATTAAGAAAGGAATGCTTCGGTGGTTTGGTGATGTGGAAAGAATGAATGAGGAAAGAGTGACAAAGAAAATTTATGTTGCAGAAGTGAATGGCAGAGTCGGAAAGGGACGTCCTACGCGAAAATTTATCGACCAAATTGGCGATTTGTTGAAAACGGGCCAAATTAGGAGTACCCTTAACCGACGAGCATGTATGCGTAGGTGTATGGATGTGAAGGAGGCGAGAGAGGTGTGTCAGGATCGTGCCAAATGGAAGTCTGTAGTCTCTGCCTACCCTTCTGGGTGACAGGCGTGAGTGTTTATGTTATGTATGTAAGTTACCTTTACTTGATATATGTTACACTCAAAGAATGAAATACGAGTACAGCTCCGTGGTTTCTGTACAACATCCAAATCGCAATATTCGTGTTATGGCTCTTATAGAAAGCAATTGGGTACTTGATGCATAAGTAATAAATTACTAAATCCAAATTTCACAGTAGGTACGCGAGAAACCCGGCTTCGATACCCGCCGGAACCAACAAAACTGTTAATTGTAATTTTAGGTGCTAATTTACCACGTGGCGGTGAAGGAAAACACCGCGAGGAAACCAGCAAGTCTGAGAAATAAGAAAAAGAAATATTTCGAAGACAAGTGAAGTCGCCAACACATTTACTTGGCCTAAAAACCCTCTCAGAAATGAGAGGAAGCCTGTGCCTATACTATGCTGTATCTTTAACTTTAACTTATCTTTAAATAGTGTCTTAAAACTTGGTACATTTTTCATTTTACATGAAATTAGATTTTTAGTATTTAATAAGTAAAAACTATGATGTCATTACACAATATTCTCAAACGATTTAAAAAATATATTTGCCTATATAATCTATATTAAATAAATAAATAAAAAGTGTTTCAGTTGGTGGGGAGCCCTAAAGGCTAAATTGGGAGTTTACTCGAGCGACGTCGAAACCTTTTGGATTGTGAAGCTTAGATGCTAAAAACAAAAAAATATATTTGTCTAGACAACTCATAAAAAGTGTTTCAGTTGGTAGGGGAGCCCGAAAGGCTAAATTGGGAGTTTACTCGAGCGACGTCGAAACCTTTTGGATTGTGAAGCTTAGATGCTAAAAACAAAAAAATATATTTGTCTAGACAACTCATAAAAAGTGTTTCAGTTGGTAGGGGAGCCCGAAAGGCTAAATTTTGAGTTTACTCGAGCGTTGTCGAAACTTTTTGGATTGTGAAGCTTAGATGCTATAAACAAAAAAAAAAGGTTATATGATGTATTCCTTTTCAATGGTGGGGGAGCGCGTATAGATTTTCAAAATTGAAAATAAAAGTCATAAAAAATTACTCGAGCGCGTCAGATATTAACAGTGTATACGTTCCACGTATTTTTGAGATCGTAGAAATATTAATCTGACGGACTGAATGGTGGGGGTGGCCGTACGAAGGGGTTGAAAATGGGATAAAAAAATATTCGAGCGCGTCAGATATTCCGAAGACCCTAAAGAAGCTCCTATTCAAAAGACTGACGATTTGGACGCGACTAAGTCTTTTAAGAGGCAAATTTTTGAATATGCAAAAAAAAATTGTGACCTTGAAGTACTCGAGCGCGTCAGATTAATATACAGACGGTTCAGCATGGTGTCCTTGTGGTGCTGACCAATAATATGACAAGTATGTGGAGGAATTTCCTTAATCTGAAGGGTTTAAAAAAAGTTTTAAATTAAAATGAAAATAATTAGAAAACAACGCGGAATTTCAAAAAACTTTATTTACGATAATTTGTCAGAAATAAAATTACCTACAAAAAAGTTCCTTTGACATTTTGTGACAAGCCTGATAGTTTCGACGGAACAGTAAAGAGATCTCAAAATTTACTATAAATTTGACTTCAAACTCAAATAACTTTTGAACAGATGGATTTACGAGTATCAAAAAATTACAAGACATTTTTTGTGGAGCGTTTGATTTCCTACAAAAATATCTATATATATAATATTCAAAAAAAAATTTTGAATATTATAAAATTTTATATATATAATATTCAAAAAAAAATTCTGTGTTATTTAAACGGGAAATGAAAATCTGCCTTGCGTGACCTCTAAATAGGTTTTCACAGGCGTCTTTTTTCGGTACTCTGAAGATATTTCAATGCGGGATTTCAAACAAAAAAGTCGATTTTTTGAATCGATCTAATATATAAAACGAAGAAAAAACGTTGAAAACAAATTTTTAATATTCATCGTCACTTGAATCATCGTCGAGAGATAGGAAAGAGTGAGAAAGGAAGAGAGGCGCGGAATGGGAAATACATAGTTCTCAGCAGCTGCACGCACCACACTACATTGAGGATTTTAACTACTTCGGCTTGTGGAAATCGGCAGATTATATTGTTTTCGTGATCCTTGAATGATTCCCTTCAAAATAAAAAAATTACCGCGTTAAAGTAAATCCAGGTGACTTTTTTTTACAAATTTGTGACCCTCCTATTTCCTTAGGTCAATTGCAAATCGTCAGATTATTGAAATACACACTTTTCTGCATGTAATTAACTCACCTAGCCTTAATCTGACGCGCTCGAGTTTTTCGAGCTTTCGAATTTTTTTTACTATTCTGAACGGCTGCCCTAAGCGCAGCCCCTATATAAAGAGCTCACATTTGGTGGGCCTACTTATTAGCGTGCAAGGTTTCCTCCCCACATGTTATTCTGCCGCTCTCGAGTAAATCCCGAAATCCCCGCTTGGGCTCCTCTACTAAGTTGACTAGTGTCAAATACCCTACTGTTAATAATGTTACGAGCTTGAGGTTCGTGACAATAAAAATTGCCGATAAAATTACCTAAATTAACACTTTAATTTTCTTTACACTAATTAAACTTAAAACACTAATAATTAATCACACTGATTCACTTTATTCCGCTCCGAAGCTTCGCTTGTCTCGCCAAATTCAATACTTCCCCGATCGCACATTGCAGCGCCTATAAATACACCTTAGCACCAAAAAATCCAGAACATTCAAGTAAATACGCGCGACAATCGACTAAGCATCGAAAGTTCGAGTGTCGGGCTTCTAGAAGCTTAGTTCTTCGTTTCGACAACAGATGGCGCTGTCGGTTGAAAGATTAGTGATGTAATTTTCGGGAAAGCTCTCTCCTCGCTCTGTTACCCGACACTAGATGGCGCTAGTGCCAGATGTCAACTTAGCCGCGCAACACTGCCCCCTCCTAAGACATGCTCGTCCCGAGCATTATCGGCCCCATAATAACGCGCCAGGCGATCCACATGGGCGATCTTAGGAGTCCCTCTTGCGCCTTTCTGTAACGGCTCCGCAATGTCAAGGGCTGTCCTATCCCATGGTGCACCAACATTGTACAATTTCGATGCTCCTCTACTACGTGTCTGAGGTCCCTTCACCTCCGCACAACTTGTACATGTACGACACCAATCCTCGACATCGTCACGATAATGGACCCAGTAAAACTGTTCTCGGACCTTCAGTAGAGTTCGTTTAACTCCCAGATGGACTCTTGAACGACCATTATGGCACAACTGTAGAACATTCGGCACTTTAGCCT